GTAAACCCATCTCCTGCATTTGACCTGTCAACCTTTAACTTAAGAACAATGAGACACTGGAGCTCATCCATAGATCTCTAGCTATGAGCAAGGCAAGTTTATTTTTCTAGCACCGTTCATACACAAGGCAACATTAAAACGTTAAATACAATAATAATCAGCTGTCGGATTGTGAGAATATTTCTCTGCACTCAAAGCAAAAAGGACACATTTTCTACTGCATATAAAGCAGAGCAGCAGAGAGCCACTAGTCCACATTTTAATTGTCATGGCGTCAGTATTTTTTCCTTTTTCCACCTGAACACACAGTGGCACATGAAACAGGTCAGTGGTCAGATTTGGAGTTCGAGTGGTTGGTTTGAAGAGATATTAGATTTGGAGTTAAACTTGATCAGGTCCAATTTAAGGTTAATTATGATAGAGTAATTTTGTATGTATATTTCTATTACCCCACTGGAGCCACACATTGAAAGCCACAATGAGAAATGTCTGGGTGGACATTTGTGCTTTGTTCTTGCTTTGATATCAAACAGGTCCAGTTGAGTGTTTACAAGTTCTTCTTGAATCAACACAATTGACCTTGCAGTGGGCCGTGTCCTCATTGTTTTCACTTTTCACATTTATTAGGTCACCCATTCAGCAAACATTCCTGTTATTCCCACAATTGTTACAACAAGATAGTACAGGAAACAAAGTTGTCAAACTCCCCTTGCATCTGAACTGTGGCTGATTAATGCCAAATAAATCATTGGTATGACTTTGTACAACATGATGAATAAGTCTGGTTGTTTAAATTGCAGATACAGCACAGCGTAAAAATAGTATACTTCTCAAAACCACAAATACTTTGTCAGCTGAACTCAAACTAAACTATGTTTAGATTATAACCCAGAAGGGAACACCACATCAGTATAATATCTGAGTTAAACCTAAAATTTGCTTGTCATTCTACTCCTTTGACATGAGATTTTACAAGGTCAGAGTTTCAGTAATAACACGGTGGTCTCTTTGTGCTCATGTGTGAGACTATCTGTCCACTGGATGTTTTATAGCTCTGTGACCAGTGTGAAGGATGAAGTGGTCAACAGGCTACAGTTACGCCTTTTCCTTTGCACTCCCTCCCAGTTACTTCCACTCAGGCTTCAGGCCAAACACTTTTCTACCCGGGTTTAAATGGATTAAAAATGATAAAACTATAATAATCAGTGTTTAATATGTGTGCCATTCTAAACCTTTGGAAATCTGACCACTGAAAATGCTATTATTTTTTATGTATTGGGCCATTTCCCATCTTTGTTCATTCTTCCACATCTGTAGGCACTCGAACAGCAGTTGGTTTGATTGTATTTTAATGAAAAAAATTAGGACTTAAGATCGGAGCATTCTGTTCTATTTACAGACATACAACGCAGTTATCTTCCGCAAAATTCAGCATGTTTTCATATTATTTTCCTAATTTTGACCGACTGTGTGCAAAGATTAGTCTGTCAACAAGATAAGTGCATCACATTCCCTACAGCATGTGCATGCAGATCATGTCCATTGTATCTAGAAAAGGGTATTACAAAATGTCTGCAATTTTTTCTGCATGTTTCAAATAAACAGGATACCTGAGAGGAAAGAACAGGGTGGGAAACTATTTGTGTAAACTGTTCAAGTAGCTTGATGAACAGCACTTGTACGATGCCAAGTTCAGAGGAACACAGTCATGACTCGTGAGCGACTGTGTTTAGCTGTAGCTTTGATACAGCTAAACATATCAAAGAGGAGAACACCAGCTTAGTGCTACCTCTTGTTATTATGAAGCTTATCTTGAGAAGTTATAATCCTGCATGTGGCACAGTTTGTCATTACATAACCTGGAACAGTACCAAGAAAAAGTTCTCACATTGAGGAGAACAGAACTGCCAGTATAGAAGGACTTCCCACATTTTAGAACCAGTCCTGATTTTATATTGAGAACGAAAGATGGTGGAACTCTATTGCCTCGGACATAAAGATTAAGGTACTTTATTTCTCCTGAAGGGAAATGGAATTTTACCGAATGGTAACGCAGGGGCATCTACAGGTAGATGTTGATGCTTGGCTTGGTCAGCTAAAGTCAGGTAAAGTGTCACAGTGTGGATTACTTTTTAAACAATATGTAAGATTTTTGTGTCAAGTCATCATTAAAAAGCCCTAATATGTCAAAAGGTACAAGTTGATCCGGGTTGCCAGAACTCACCGCGTTGAGCTAATCTCACTAAAGTAACATGTGGCTAAGTAACGTGTGTACTCGTTGATTCATAATTACTATCAATCATTAATGATTCTCATATCATTAATGACAAAACAAAGAATAAAAGAGGATTTCTATTGGGGATGCCTGATAAAAAATTGAGACAACTAGGCGGATAAAAACTTTTCATCCAATGCAAAACTTTCTATATTTCTCATTGCCAGTTGAAAAAGCTGCCTGGGGCCATTCAGATGTAGTATAGGGTGGTGATCTAGTGGTTATGTTACAGAGCTTTCCCCACAGTGGCCCAGGTTTGAATTTGGGTGATTTGGGTGAAGTGCCTTGGTGTTTATATAGTCAAATAACTGAATATTCTGTGGCTCTTCAAAGTTAGGCCAAAACTCCTGAAAACACAGGCAGAACGCACTTCCCTGATCTGAAAAAGGTCTGGTAGTCAATGAGTTAATAATAATGACAAATAGTTGATGGAGGGATGCCCCCCCCCCCCCGGGCCATGGCTAGAGGGGAGACTGCTCCGCCCAATTCCCCCTTTCTGGAGGAAACCCTGATTCTGATACACTGACAAAACTCTTGTCTATTCAACTATTATGGTCCCAGCTGAATTTTGTGCGTATCTGGAAACCGGAGTCATGGAGAGTGGGAAAGGACTACAGAATATTGACCATGATTGCAGTTCCACTTTTGTCTGTTCCCTTGTGTGGATTGTCTGCCCCGCCCTAATGTGTTTCATCTGTGTCTCTCTGTGTCTATATGTACCTGTGCTCCTCTCTCCTTGTGGGTCCATTGTCACTGTCTTTGTTCATGTATTTCAGTCTGTATTCCTGGTTCCTGTGTTGGATTTTTTAGTTTGTTTTGTCTTTGACTTTTGTTTATTATCTCATTAAATCATTATGTTCAGCATTCCTGCATTTTTGGGTCCCTCTTCATCTCTCCACACGACAAAGTCTAAAGCCAAAGATTCAGTCCATACTCATTGGTGATGGAATCCAGGCTGCCAGTCCACACCATCGACCCCGCCGACCACCATCATCATTTACTCACTCACCATATTCATACTGCTGCATGTTTTGGGTTGTGAGGTAAGCGTGCAAACTCCAATCAGAAAGGCCTAGGCAGACACGGTATCAAACCCAAGACCTTCTTGCTGTGAGATATGAGCGCTACCCACTCATCCAAGCGTGAGTCTATTGTAACTGTGAAAAAACAGACAAAAAACAAATCAACAATGTATTTTATTTACAAATGTCTGTAAATAAGACACTTGATAGCAACATAGCTACGCAGACTTTTTGTGTGAACATGTGTGAGCCCACTGTATGTATCTGAATACAAAAATAATTGTTGAATATATGTTTGTGTAGTCTTTGTATGGAAGGAAAAGCTGAACCAGGGACAGGATTTAACACAACACTCAATGTGTGGGCCCAGTTGTATCCTCTGCTTTAAAAATAATTAAATATTACTCTTGTAACCCTGCTAAAGCAGCTTATGCACAGGTGACTACAGACACTGAACAAACTATAGTGGCCACAACACTACACGCTCTGCCAAGGACCTGCTTTTCAGACAAAGCCGTCCATGCCACAACTGACTCACAAGGTACGGTCCATTACGCAACTAAGGGGCGGCGAAAGGGGAGTCATTCTCGAGATGCGTGATCTATTTTGTGGATAAAAGGTTTAACGGAGCCAATGACTTCTGCGTGAGAAGCTCCACTTGGCCTGTTTGCCCAATGCCTGCCATGGCTCAATTATACTCCAACTAAATTGTGTGGAAGCAAATGAGGCAGGGGTATGCATTTGACTCTAACTTTTGTATTTTCTTTACAAAAATGAGTTTCTCTGATCTAAACCCGTTTTTCCCAAAGTCTAAAAAAGGACAACTAAAACATCAGGAAGACAGCTGTCTTCTTATATGGCCTCTTTATCCTTCTCACTCTAGACATCCCGTCTGCACCCACCACTCAGACCCCGCAGGTGGATCTAAATGAGATTTGGCAAAGCCTGGATTTCCAAAAGTATTTTCATGAAGATTTAGCTACATCTCATAAGTAGCATCCTGAAGAGAACTATTAGATAACAATGCAAATGTCCGGTGGATTTAAATGTTTCTACTTGGACGAAGTGCGCCGGGTTAGACGTTTTAAAATCTTCATTCATGGCCTGATAATGGAGGAGAAACTGACAGCTGTTGATATGAGCAGTGTCTTAAAGTTTCTTGCTCACAGCGATAGGCCAAAGAGTTGTTGGTCAAACATTAGAGGTCATAGTGGCGAAAGGAGATGATGGAGGAGGTTTAAACGGAAGCATCCAGGTCCTGACACCCACTTATCCGTCTCCATCACTCCTTACCCTGACTAACCAACAGCACATCCTCATACAATGCAAGTAAAAGCCCATCGCACATACAGTATGCAGCACTTGAGGTGAGTGAGTATAAAGCACAGATTTAAACATCACATTTTTTGACAGTTGTTTTCCCAAGCCCCTTCCAACCACAAAATGCACGGCCATAAAACTTGTCTACAACTCACAAAGGCAGAAGCATGAATCAAAGTGCTGGTACCTGATGATTACGCAAAGGCAGCTAGAGGCCAAACACATGGCCGCCACTACATACGGTTTGTTGTTGGATATGATCTGCCTAATCCTAAACAAGTGCATTGCGCTGAGGTTTCTGGCGGAAGCATGTAATAAAAGTGACAGTGTTAGTATGTCAACAATCACAGCAGGTATGTTTCCTTTATGCAGCTTTGGAGGAAATGCCTTGTTTGTCTGACGCAGAGGAAGGCAGTATGTCTGGAGCTCTGGGCCATCCAACAATAGTAGTTAACTGTAAATGACAGGTTATTTTACATACATGCTTCTAAACATGAGCTAAAACAGTTACTTGGTACATAATACCAGAAAACAAATCTGCATGACATTTGTTTGAAAGTATTCATAATATCATTGTAGGCTGAATTATTGTTTTAGATTTGACGATAAGTTTTATTGAAACTAAGAAAACATTCGGATTTCATTTAACTTATATTACTTTTCAAACCAGTCACTTGGTTTATGAAGAACAAAGAAAGACCCCTCACTTACAGTACACGAGTCAGGTAAATGACTTGTGGCTCAAAACATACAGACGGTTGTGTTGGATTTCAGTTCACTCTCTCTGCATATTCACGAAAGTCAGTCAACCACTCAAATCTTTGCCAAGCCTTTAAAAGTACAGATTGCGGAGGAGGACGTCATACGATGTGGGTCAGCAGCTTGGATTGGCCCTTAAACAAAACAGGAACTGAGCCGAAGTAATTTGGGCTATTTGTCTTGTTGTGCTATTGCAACCTATTAAGCAGCACTGGGCCTTTTCACAAAGCCATGGCAACTACGCATCCAAGATGACCAATAAAATGGATGACTGAACCTCTTGATCTCACGTGCTGCCGAAAATAGCTTGTTTCAAAGCAATATCTATTGTGAAGTTCTGGCCTCTACCCTTTCGGCAGAAGTGTGCACTTTGAAAACTAGTGACAGCATCCTGCACAAAGATAATGCACATCAGATGGAATCGCCATAGACACAGTGCCCGCATGACATCATTCTGGAGAAGTGTGGGAGCGAAGGAGGCCACTGTGTGTACACAAACCATAGACCTATACTCTGCACACAGAGGGAACCCATCACTGATGTCAAAAGTTTTCCCAAGGAGGATTCGGGGGAATATTGGCAAACAAAAATAATGTTTTCAACATCTTCTGTCTGTATAGTGGCATATCAACATACTTAAGAGTGAAATATAATTGCATAATGGTGAGAGTCTTTATTAGCATTTATTGAAAATAAATCAACCAAATTAACATGACTAATAAAGTGTTTTTCATGGAAGTAACATAACACGAGTTCACTAAAGTTTTTCTGATATATGATTCTACTGATTGACACACTACATGTGATTAATTGCAACAAGCCACCAATTACATAAACTTTTAAAAAAGTGCCTTTGGTCAAAATCCATCACTTATTTTTTGCAACAACAAAAATCAACACATTTGTTATTTACAGGCCAAATATGTGTAAAGGCACCAGAGGCCCACAATGTCAACTGCCATAATGGCAAAATACTTTCCATCTTGCCGATCGTGGGAGAAAAAAAAGCACTTTTTGAACATTTGAACATGACAATCAAACCCAATCCAATCTATAATAAAGGGTTTCTTTATTACATTGAAATAAGTGTGGGTACACAAATAATGTGAAACTATTTTGTAAATAATGAAGACACATGTGGTCATCTTGCGGTATTTCTAAATTAGTGTTGGTCAAAACTTTCAACACAGCTCCCAGAAACTTTCCCTCTCACAACATTGAGCACACACACATCCCATATCAGATGTGTGTATGTCAGATCCTAAATCTCTCATTCTTGTTAACACAATGAAGTCACACACAGCTCCCACATATTTGTCACTAACGCACGAACAGACGAAATGCTATACACACATTTGACACATTGAGTTTTGATGTTGTTGAGATTTTGACATGTCTCAAATACAATTGTTGAATTGAAATGATAAGGATGCCCTCACATATGCACTCAAAACTGTAAATATGTGCAGACACTCAAATGTAGATTTTGTTATATTGTATTACATAACCAAATGCGAACATTATCATGCAAACTCTGCACACAATTCACTTTTTGAATCCATAATTCCTTGCTAAGAAATTTCAAGGACACATGATCAGGAGGATCTATAATGATGCTACTGCCCCCCAGCGGATTCGTTAGGAAATGCAATCTTTACATGATTAATTTGTGATGAGAATGAATAGCCTAAAAATAGCTTACAAATAAATGGGGAGGAAGCTATAGGGTAATACATGTTTTTGATGACCATGACAGTTTATTCATGTATGTGCTTCCATCAGTTGCATGTAATTCATGTGGTATGACCATGTACTGGGACGAGTGGCTACTGCAGTGAGTCTGACGAATGCGGGCGAGGCCTCATTGCAATGGACTGCACCAGTGTATTCCTCCGCACAGTAGAATTGTGGTCATGTTTTGTTGGCTTTTGGGATTATTTAACGGAAACAACAACATTCAGAGTTAATCCAACGAGCGTTTTCACGATGACATTCTTAATGCATTTTTAAAAATATAATTGAACACGGAGCATCGAGGCTCAATGTCGACACACGGATCTACTTTTTTCAATAAAACAAGTTCCTCCCATTTCGCCATTTTATGTTGCATCTCGCTACGCTGTTGTTGGGGCAAAACAGGAGCCTTCAGTAATGATACGGATATTGTCTACGATGCGTTGCAGTTGAGATCGCTTTGGCTAACATCGGCTTTATGCTGCTTTTACCTTCATTCCCTGCCACAGTTTCGTGTCCTTGGCTGGACTGGACGCGTGTTTGAGGCATAGCCACAGACGTCGGCACGCTGCACCCACAGAGCTCCACGCAGGCGGACAACGTGTCGTCTCTAATATTCTCCAATATCTGTTCCCGATCCGCTGGCACATTGACGTCCACCGGGCAAGATCCGAAGCCAGAGGAGATGGCGAGCTCCGTGGGCAACGTGGCGGACAGCACAGGTGACTTTCATTATCATTCCCCACCTACATAAAAGAACCCTCACAAAAGGAGCGATCTGAGCTAGCTAACCTGAGCTAGCTTTGTGCTTTCAATACGTGCAATATCGTCGTGTTTGATGTTATGATTACAACAGAATGCCTGTAATAGCCATGGTAATAGCACATTTGACTTAGGTGGAAAAAATATAATGGCACAGAGATACAGGGACGATCAAGCTAATGGTAGCTAACTGGTAGCTAGCTGTGCTATCCAGTTAGCTTTAGCACATCCCCCACTCACAGAGAACAAAAGTGATACTAGTCTAGCATCAAAATCGCACTGTTTAAACATGCGATGCGCTACTTTTATCCATAATAAAACAACGTCCCTTTATTTGTAACTTCAAAATGGCTGTGGGCGGTAGATCAGGTATATTTTATGTGATGGACACAGAGTATATCAAATTACTTTTTGCAGCTCCAGATATGACGGGTTACATTTTTTCAGAATCGGATTGTTTCTTACAATTATCCATGTTACCTATTTCAAATATACTTAACCCATAGTATTTGGTAGTCTACAACCATATACGTAATAATTGAAATTTAGTTTTGAAAACCAAACTGAGGAAAAAAGATTGCGATTGTTTTACAATAATGAGTAAACGTATTTTGGCAGATGGGTAGAGCTAAGTTTACTGGGGATGGGCATGATAGGCTTATTCTTTGACCATGGGTGGATCTGTTTAATTTGGACTTTGAATCAGTGAGTCCAAAATGTATTGTTTGTTTAATCTGAAATATTCACCAGCGACTTAACCTGGCAGACAGGTTTGTACTTTGATGGTTTTATGTTTACTCAATTCAAGAATGCCTGCAGGTGAATAATGGCTACATTATTATATGATTTCTGTGCCATGTGTTCAACCACTGTAATGTTTTCACAAGCTTGGATACCCTCAACATAAATACTTTTAAAGTTTGTACAACTTTACAAAGTTTTGCAAAAAATAAGTTTCTGCTCCCATCCTGTCATTTTCAAATCTTAAGGGCACATCCAGAGCATTTATCTTGGCGTGATCGTCACAGAACCAGTTTTAAATGACAATGGAAGTCCAAAGTTGTTTGGGCCAGGATTTCAGCAAAGAGACAATTTGACTATTATCTTGAACTAGTTTTAAAATCAGATAACGCTCGTTAAAATGTATTTAAATTAAATAAGTGAATACTACAGTTTTTCTACTATTTCAATTTCAGTTTTAGACAATCTCATTTGAAAACCAAAGATGTCATGTTTACATGCATAGCACATTTCATACACTGGGCAAGATAAGATATACTTCATTAATCTCACACAGGATTAATACACTGGGCAACTCAAAGTGGTTTACAAAATAAGCAGGACACCAGCAGGAGGCCAGTCCTTGTTCTCCTCAGAGTTGTTGTTTCTATGTTATAAATGTATATAATATGTGTCATATTGTTAACACTAACATTTCACAGATGTAGTGTGATGCAAGAGACTTGTTCGCAAGCAAAGCCGCTTTAAAGTCTGTTTTGTATTAGATTTCTAACCTGATTTTTTTTATTTTTTTTAAGCCACAACTGAATTGTTCATGTCTCTTTGCTAAAATCCTACTTCTTTTGAAACTTTTTCTGCGATCAATCAACTTTAAATAAATGAGGGATTCCGCTGCTCTATGCATAGCGTTATTATTTATCTTGATGCATCTCTTTCATACTCCTAGATTTTGTGTTTTCTTTGCCTGCAGTTTTTTCCTTATTGTATCATCCTCCCTTATCATCTAAAGCATCCTCCTATTTTCTATTATTTTGTCATTTGCCTGATTTATGTTCTTCCATTGCCTCTAACATGTTGTTTTCCCATCCCCTCCTTGGGCTGTGTTGCTGTTGGTGTTCCAGAACCGACAAAACGTATTCTTTCATTCCAAGGGTTGGCTGAGCTGGCGCACAGAGAGTATCAGTCGGGGGACTTCGAGGCCGCCGAGCGCCACTGCATGCAACTATGGCGCCAGGAGCCAGACAACACCGGGGTGCTGCTGCTGCTGTCCTCCATACACTTCCAGTGCAGAAGGCTTGACAGGTACAGTGCACAATAAACATACACATCACTTCTCACTGTTTATTGAATATCACACCTCCCAAAAGACCAAAACAACTCTTTAATGACGTCAACACTTTGAATGTCATGCGTTAGCTCAACATGGTAAATATCACGCCTTGAAAAATCCCTAAGACTTGGTCAAAGCATGTTGGCCTGTCCCGTTATTTGGAGATAATTGTAGTAACTGGTAGAGGCCTACTTATTGTTATTCACCACCATAGCCCAGAGCGAAAACACTATGGAGAAAATGGAATGCTAAGTTAGAAACACATTTTGTATTTTTTCCTGAAAAAAGCTAAGCGTTTTTTGGACACTCAAAGACGCGTCACGTTCTTGTTATTAGTCATTCACTCCATACAGTGGTGATGTACTACTAATGTAGCCTCAACTACCCTGGGGCACACTGACATATGCGAGGCAACCATTAAGCCTAGTGTATACTCGCGCGGCGCGGAGCTTACGGAGGTGACGTGACGTCACTTGCGCAACACGTTGGTCACCGCAAGGCCCTTACGTTGTCTGCCGCGCAGCATCGACATTTTCTAACTACGTAAGGGTCGCCGCAAGGAATCTCCGCTGTGATTGGTCCGTGTGTGTGTGTGTGTGTGTGATTGGTCCGCTCAGAGCCTGATATACAGGAGACTGTGGACTATCTAACATATATATAACTTATAAACTGTGCAGTCGTTTGTTTTGCACTGTTCCTGTCTTTGTTTGAATCGTAGCTGCGTTTGTTGCTTTCCTCCTGCACTCGTAAATTGTTGTAAATTATTGTTTTGCTGTTTGTGCTGAATACTATTTAATAACTGTTTCCAACTGTGTCTTTATTCACAGCATCACAGTTGAAATGACTTATAAAATAATGAATCCATAAAACTATCACATAAACCTGCAGTATAAACACGTGTAATGAGCTCAAACGGCTTTGTTTGCTATTGTTGTTCTGAAGAGGACAAAGTAGCAGCGTAAATGGGACCGCTCCTGTGTCCTCATGTGGTTTGTGGTGGGATTACAAAATTCTCCTCAAAACTCCGTAAGGGGAACGCGCCAGTATAACATCAATTGTGCTTACGTAGGTCCACCGCAACCGCTAACGTAAGCCACGCCGCGCAAGTATACACTAGGCTTTATGTGCCATCGGCCCCCCCTGCCACTACCCACCATTCACACACACCAGACTCATTCTGGGCAATGCTCAGGCCACAGAGTTAAACAGTATTACTAGAATAGTTTCTGTGATGGGGAGAAGTGTGGACTCTGCTGGAGAGAATGATGAGGGCTCTAATGCAGGGCATCCTGGGTAACTCCAGACACCCTCTGCATGACACTATGGCTACTCAGAGGAGAAATCGTAGCAACAGGCTTTTATCACTGTGCTGCCGAACGGAACGTTTTAAGAGATCCTTTATTCCTTCGGCTGTCAGACTGTATAACAGACCTGTATGAGTTTTCTGCTGCTGACACCTGAATTTCTCCTACAATAAAGTATCTATCTATCTTAGAGCTGCAACTAACGATTATTTTGTAATCGATTAATCTATCGATTATTTTTACGATTAATCGAGTAATCGCTTGGCTGTGAATTGTGTAGAAAAAAATATTCATCACAAAAAGCTAAAGTGGCAACACTCGAGGACGTATTGATGGCGTAAACGCAAAGTAAATGTTTGTATTAGGCTCTTTGTGCTAATTCTGCTATCTGATTGGATGAGACAGACAGATATTCATGAAATTATAAAAACAAAGTCGGTTTTAATTTAAAAAAAAAATACTACATTTTCATGTCATTTTTGCTCTGTTTGAGTCCGTGTGAACCAGATAACGATTAATTGATTACTAAAATAGTTGTCGACTATTTCAATAATTGATTAGTTGTCGATTAATCAATTAGTTGTTTCAGCCCTAATCTATCTAGAGTTCTCTTTTCAAAGTAGCTGCCTGTCCTTGCATGTCCATGTTCTAGCTGCATGAAACGCTGACTCTGCAGGTTTAAATGGCTCATTCTTTGTGTCTCTTTAGGTCCGCACACTTCAGTACTTTAGCCATTAAACAAAACCCGATGCTCGCCGAAGCATATTCCAACCTGGGGAATGTGTACAAGGAGCGTGGGCAGCTGCAGGAGGCCATTGAGCACTACCGCCACGCGCTGAGGCTAAAGCCGGACTTCATCGATGGATACATCAACTTAGCAGCAGCTCTCGTGGCTGCGGGCGACATGGAGGGAGCCGTGCAGGCCTACGTGTCTGCCTTGCAATATAATCATGTAAGTGGCAATTCTTGGATCTTCAAAAGGTTACAATTGTGAACTTGAATATTTATCTCTTATTTTCTCTTTGTAGGATCTTTATTGTGTACGCAGTGATTTGGGCAATCTTTTAAAAGCCCTTGGGCGTTTGGAAGAGGCTAAGGTAGGCTATTCGAGTTACACGTTTGTAATTTTATTTTATTTTTTCATACATAATATTATTTGGTGCCATTTACTACCAAATTGCATTGCTCTTTTTGACAATTAGTCTCATAACACTCCTCAAGTATCTTAAATCTGGCATGAGGAAAGAAATGCAGCATCTATTTTATTTCCAAATTCTGCTCGCAATTGTTGCAGTCTCATATCATGAAAAAAACAATACTTTTTGCATTACACTTAAAGATCTGGTGTAAACAACTTTTGAAGTATAATTGTTAAGAAATCAGTATAATTCCTCATAAAATATGATACATCTTTTTGTCATACCAAGTTATCAGAGACCACACCCCTAAGGAATAAAGGCTGCATTTAAATTCCCTTATTTGATCAATTTAGTTTGATTTTGGAGGAAAAAAATGCTGGCTCGGTCTTCAAAGATACATGAACTGATGCGATTGTAGGTACTACAGTGCTGAAGATAAGATGGTTTCTAACCACTCCAATGAGCTCCAGTATTTAATGTATGACACATTCAAATAAATGCATGTTAAATAATTCCTCAACACTGAGCCTTATGGGCTGCCCTTTGCTTGCATTAATGACTGCAAGTGTGCGGTTTCACTTCCTCAAAGTCTGTCGGACTACAGAAGTGTTTTTACTTTTGCTGGGATCAGTCTGGGTTGGGTCACATCTGGAGAAATGGAAGAGTTCCACTGGTTACAGGCCATCTTATTTGCTGATTGAAGGGGCTAAGGAGTGGGGAGGAGCACCAGGGAGCTTCACCTCCCCACTCTGTCGCTATGCCCCCCGCGCGCTCGCTAAGGATCGGTGGACTGTGCGCGCGTGTAGAGCTGTCTTCCTGACCAAACTCCTCCGGCTGTACAACAGCCATCTTTACAATACTGATATTCAAACACAAGATTTGTTTTCCACAGTGCACTTCTGTGTCTGTGATAAGCAGTGTATGTTTTACCCCCCCGATGAATCCAATTATATAACCACTGTTAAATTATCAGGGATATTTGATGTTTATCCCGCACAATGTCAAGCAGACAGCTCACCATCTCAAATCCACCTCCTGCGTCAGATGCTGGTTTAGGCAAGGAATGCGCTGCAACAGCGATGACTTCTTTATTTCAGAGATGTGGAGGCTTCTAGATTCAAAGAAATAAAAGTCTTTTCTCCCTATTCTATTGGCCAGGACTCAAGAAAGAAGGCCAGGATAAAGAAAAACTATTGAAATTACATGCTAAAACAATGAAGGAAAATATATTTTCAATGTAAAACTCCCAATGAAATGGGATCAGTTCATCTGGAAAAGATCAAGCCAGTGACTGCCCCCCCCCCCCCCCCTCGCTTTGTAATGTTAAACATGATTTGAGTACAAAAGAAAGAAGCCTTTCTTCCAACCCCAGTTTCCCTTTCAACATTACTTTTATTTGAACTGCAATCATTGCATGTCTTAAAAATAGCATAGTGTTTTGTTTGTTGTGATTTGGTAAACAAGTTTATTTCCATAAATATTAAAATGTATTGTTTGGATACTTTTACTAACGATCTTGTTTTCTGATTTGTCTCTTTTGGTTTTTCCACGACTGATATTGTTATTTAGAAGGTTTCAGGTGGGTGACAGTATTCCTGCGTAGGTGCCTGGCGGAAAGGAACACTAGGGCAGCATCAGTCCTCCTCTTCTTCCAGCCAGCTGCGGCCACCACTCTGACAAAGTCCAAAAATATGGTAACGGGTTTGTAAATGCCAACAAAAGAAAAACCACTTCACTTCATGCTTTAGCTCCTCTGTCTTGTGGCTTCCTTTTGAAGAACAACAAACATTGAATGTAAACCTATAGTAGTATTTATCCACACTAATTCTCCAAGCATTACTGTGCTAGTAAAAAATGGAAGCAATAATGAAAAACAAGTAAGAACCTCTAACTCTTACATGTTATGTATTTTTTCCTATTTTGTTTTATTTTTCTTCTTTATTTGGAGTTGCAGCGTTCTGATGATGATGCAGTTGCGCTGTGAGTCTGCAGTAGCGCAAGGGCTGCGCAGCGATGTCCTCCAAGCAACTAAACTGGCGGAAAGCGCGCTTGCACCCCGAATCCCTGCTCCCTCGGCCTTGTTGTTGTGGACCACTCCCCACTTAGAACCAGCCTCGCTCCCTGTAGCCTGAAAAACATTCATAATACCCCCAACTCTTTTTGGGTTTTGGGTTCAGATTCCTGAAAATAATATTGTGCCAAATTCTCATCACTAATGTGTACAGACATTTGGAATATGGATGGGTGTCGAGTGTGAGCCAGTCTGGTCACAAAAGTGAGAAAGGGATGTTGGTTTACAACTGGCCAATCAAAACCGCGGCGGCAAATCAAGACCTACGCTCAAGGTCGCGCAAAGCGCGCAGCTGGGTGCAGTGTGGTCAAATCCCACGACGCGCTAGCATGGACTTGTTGCGCCTGCATTACAGGGACCATCGCTTGCAGGAAATGTCCTACATCTGAGGTTGTGATTTCGTCATGTTAGTGGGTTTCATTATTAGGTTACTATTAGGAGTTGGGCTATTCAAGATTTAGGGTTCTGTCTACCACAAAGCATATCTTTGTGGTCGTAACTGTACGATGGGGGACTGAATGCAAGTGTCGGTTGGATTTGCGCAGCGTAGGAATAAGCATTGAGCTTAGTGCGACAGACTTATGCGCATGCGAGCCCAAGCTGTAGACTCACTTTTTGACATTGTGAAGGATGGTCACTAATTTAGTTTTTTCTGCTCTTTTTGTTTTTCTTTCTTTTATTCTCAATCTTTTATTTCTTTACAATCCTCTGGTCTTCCTCTTTACACTTTCCCCTCCTCTCTTATACTCCTATCCTTTCCTGTCTTCGCTTTTTATTATTTTACCCCTAATGAAGGCTTGTTACCTGAAAGCCATTGAGACGCAACCAAACTTTGCAGTGGCATGGAGCAACCTGGGTTGTGTATTCAATGCCCAGGGAGAGATATGGCTGGCAATACACCATTTTGAAAAGGTAAATACTGACTTAACAATATATTTTTCCTTAACCTTTTGCACTATTTCAGTCTATGGTATTTATTTTTCAGGCTGTAACACTTGATCCCAATTTCCTTGATGCGTACATTAACTTGGGGAATGTGCTAAAAGAGGCTCGCATTTTCGACAGGTGGGAGTGGTTCCGGTTTCCCTCAAATTCGCAATTATGACCTCTGCTCACGCAAGAATTGTGTTCACTTCTTTCAGAGCTGTGGCTGCATACCTTCGAGCCTTGAGTCTTAGCCCCAACCATGCGGTCGTCCATGGAAACTTGGCCTGTGTTTACTATGAACAAGGCCTCATTGACCTGGCCATCGACACCTATCGACGGGCAATTGAATTACAGCCACATTTCCCTGATGCCTACTGCAATTTGGCAAATGCATTGAAAGAGAAAGGAAACGTAAATTGTCACTTTTTAGTTGAAAATATTGCTGCTGACTTAACTATTGTTAAAATTGTACTGCATTATTTCTCAAGGTTCCAGAAGCAGAAGAGTGCTACAACACAGCCCTTCGCTTGTGCCCTACCCATGCCGACTCCCTTAATAACTTGGCCAATATTAAGCGTGAGCAGGGCAACATTGAAGAAGCGGTTCAACTGTACAGAAAAGCTCTAGAAGTAAATACAATACACATTTGCAAAGGACAACAGAGTGAATCAAATACGTGTAATAACTTTTCATTACTCCATATGATTAGGTTTTCCCTGAGTTTGCAGCAGCTCATTCTAATCTGGCAAGTGTCTTGCAACAGCAAGGAAAACTCCAGGAAGCTCTGATGCACTACAAGGAGGCCATCAGGTGTGTTTTCTAGACTGACGAGTATTAAGATTATTTACTTTGTTTGATGTTTTAGAATGTGAAATAATATCTCTTGTAATCAATTGAGAAAAATCTGTAAAAAATGCTTTCTCTCAACGCTACCACCAGAGGGAGGGGTTGAATTTGTTGTTTCTCAAATGTGAAATGCCAGCCCTACCATTTTGAGAAATTACCAAAACTATTTTCGAAGACTTTTTAGCTTTTAACAGAGTAGCAGCATAATCGTGTTTTGGGTTGTCTCATCTGTAGGATCAGTCCCACGTTTGCCGATGCTTATTCAAACATGGGAAACACATTGAAGGAAATGCAGGATGTCCAGGGAGCGCTGCAGTGCTACACACGTGCCATTCAAATCAACCCTGCCTTTGCTGATGCTCACAGCAATCTTGCTTCTATTCATAAGGTAAAGAGGCATAATTTAGCTCAGAATACAGGATATTTACGCATGTGTTCTCTAAAACCTATTCCCTTTCTTCGTGCTTTTTTGAAGGATTCTGGAAACATCCCAGAGGCCATTGCATCTTACCGCACAGCCCTGAAGCTTAAGCCTGACTTTCCAGATGCTTACTGTAACTTGGCACACTGCCTTCAGGTAAAGTGTATCTGTATTTCTGAGTCCTTGTCCATAGCCTAACAGTACTAGTCTCTAGTTGAGAAATCCTGCACACACGTCTTCATTAATTAATATCATTCCACTTTTCTTTCCCAGATTGTGTGTGATTGGACTGATTATGACGAGCGAATGAAGAAGCTTGTGAGCATTGTGGCTGACCAACTGGATAAGAATCGTTTGCCTTCTGTGCACCCCCACCACAGCATGTTGTATCCCCTGTCTCACAATTTCCGGAAGGCAATTGCAGAACGTCATGGAAACCTTTGCCTGGACAAGGTACTCGCAATGACAAAAGCAAGTACTCTTTCATTTATTATATTTGGGAGAGGATGGTTAAAGGTGTCTGGTGATGCGGACAGGTGGATTTCTCTGAAATTGGTGGGCTCTGAACGGAATGAGCTCTAAAGGGAATTTAATCACGGCGGAAGTGGCTTCTTGCAATGGGAAGGTCTGGTGATTTTATTTGATATTGTTTTAATCCTAGATATTTTCCTTGACAGATTAATGCACTACACAAACCGGCCTATGAGCATCCAAAAGATCTGAAAGCCAGTAATGGCCGTCTCCGTGTTGGTTATGTCAGTTCTGACTTTGGCAACCACCCAACTTCACACCTGATGCAATCTATTCCTGGAATGCACAATCCAGAGAAGTTTGAGGTATAAATGGTGTCCATTACTTTTTATAGTGACGCAGCAGTGATTGGGAATTAAAATGTATTTCATATTTTGTTAAGGTTTTCTGCTATGCACTGAGTCCTGATGACAGCACTAACTTCCGTGTTAAAGTAGTAGCAGAGGCTCATCACTTTACAGATCTCTCCCAGGTAACATTTTATATTTATTTATACCATTACATTATAAATGTTGGTGTTCAAACTAAATTGCACTTTGCTTTGTGTCTCTAGATACCTTGTAATGGAAAGGCAGCTGATCGCATTCACCAAGATGGAATTCACATCCTTGTCAACATGAATGGATACACTAAAGGAGCACGCAATGAACTGTTTGCCCTGCGCCCTGCCCCCGTTCAGGTGAGTCAAACCTGGGGTTTCCAAGATGACATCATCTATATAACAATCTTTTAAAAACCTACATAATACATAATACATAATTTTCTTGTCATCAGACTATGTGGCTGGGATACCCAGGAACAAGTGGTGCTCCGTTTATGGACTACATTGTCACTGACAAAGAGACCTCGCCCATGGAGCTGGCGGAGCAGTATTCAGAGAAAATGGCCTACATGCCTCACACCTTCTTTATTGGAGACCATGCAAACATGTTTCCTCATCTCAAGGTTTGTTTGAATTTGATTTACAGTTGAGATGACTGTTTTTGTTGCCAACACTAATGCTGCTACTTCATTCAAACAGAAAAAAGCAGTCATTGACTTCAAGTCGAATGGCCACATTTTTGACAACCGCATTGTGCTGAACGGCATTGACCTGAAGGCTTTCCTCGACAGCCTTCCAGATGTTAAAGTCATAAAGGTGTTATTTTGTATTTTTATTTTGTTTTAACTTCCATGCGTTAAGAAAACTGAGGCTAATTGATGTTAAATCTGCGTTTGGACAGATGAAATGTGATGTCAACCAGGAGCCTTCTGGAGACACAAACGGAGCCCTGTCCATGCCCGTGATTCCCATGAACACAGCGGCTGAAGCCATCATCAACATGATTAACCAGGGGCAGATCCAGGTCACCATCAATGGCTTCACTGTCAGCAACGGCCTGGCAACCACACAGGTACAGCTCTCTAAATAAAGTTTCTTATATGTCCATCTTTGATCTGAAAGGAATTGAGAAGTTCTACACACAATGAAAAAAAACTAGATATTTGACATATCAGTAGATCATATAGAGGAAGATATGTTTATGAATGTACATGTTTTTCAGGCCTCCTGTATTATATTTTAGTTTTAATGAAATATTAGTTATTTCTTTAATATTTAATGTTTCTGTTTAACTGATAATTTCATCTATCATTTTATATTTTATTTTTTTCCCCCCAAGATTAACAACAAGGCTGCCACAGGGGAAGAGGTTCCACGTACAATAGTTGTGACGACTCGTTCGCAGTATGGTCTGCCAGAAGACTCCATTGTGTACTGCAACTTTAACCAGCTCTATAAGATTGATCCACCTACTCTTCAGATGTGGGCTAATGTAAGTGCGAGCTCTCCAATACAATCCTCCTGCCATGTGAGGGAAATCCTCTGAAACTATAATGCTTTTGATCCAGATCCTGAAGAGGGTGCCCAACAGTGTGCTCTGGCTCCTGCGGTTCCCTGCTGTGGGAGAGCCTAACATCCAGCAGTATGCTCAGAACATGGGCCTGCCTGCGTCCAGAGTCATCTTTTCTCCCGTGGCACCAAAAGAAGAGCATGTGAGGAGAGGCCAGTTGGCAGATGTTTGCCTCGACACTCCTCTGTGCAATGGTCACACAACGGGCATGGATGTCCTCTGGGCGGGAACACCAATGGTCACAATGCCAGGTGAGGACAAGAATGTTTGCTCATATTAACTGAAATGGTGGCATTTAAGCACCAACTAAGTATAACATATTATCCTTGATGTCCTAAATGAAAATGTAATAATTGATGATTGTACTTGCACTGTCAAATGATGAATAAATCTATTAAAGGTGAGACGTTGGCTTCTCGTGTGGCTGCATCACAACTGGCTTGCTTGGGCTGTCCAGAGCTTATGCCTCACACTCGCCAGGACTACGAAGATATTGCAGTCAAACTAGGTTCCGACATGGAGTAGTAAGTTTATTGTTTATTGGATGTTCCGATACCATTATTTTTTCGGGTCGAATCTGAACCGATTCAATTGCTTTGGTCCTTATGGTGGTAGCTCACATCTGCTCAGGGAAGTGAAGCACGGTACTCACAATCCCAGAAAAAGTTTGGTATCGGAATATCTCCAATTGTTTGTCACTTTGAATATGTTTCACTGACTGTTCTCTTCTTTGCAGCCTTAAGATGATCAGAGCTCGCGTTTGGAAACAGCGAATCTGCAGTCCACTTTTTAACACCAAGCAATACACCATAGATTTGGAAAGGCTTTACCTTCAGATGTGGGAGCACCATGTGAATGGAATCAAATCGGAGCACCTCGTCAATGTCCATCCGCCAGAAAGCACAGAGAAGGCCTGAACTGGAAATGCACCAAAGTCACTCGCAGCTTTCCTTCTCCCTTTATCTGCTATGACCAGTCCTGAGAGTTAATTGTCCACATCAGTCTATTTGGGACTTGTAAAGAGCCTTCATATCTTCACCTAATGCATATTTGGAGCCAGGCAAAGCTTGATACACGCGTGGTCCCTTTGCTCTGAGACTCTGTACCACACTGAGCATGGGCAGTGAGGTCCCTTCAATCCCCTCAGTGCTTGAGTCAGTGGATGTCCCCTGTTTTTGTGCTTACAGGACTATTATTAGCTTGTGGAGCTAAAACCTTACTGTTGTCACATTGAATCTATTTATCGGTGGAGTAAGTCTGTGTTTGAAAACAGAAAGCGGTTGACCATGGAAAGCAAAATTTTATTTTGTTGTAATCAAATATATGGTTCGAAAAAGAAAACTGCTCTTTAGTTTGTGAATGTTAAATGACTGCAGTGGGATTTACTGGGGTCAACTCATTAATGCTAGCCATGGTTAATTTTGTTTATATCTTTAACACTCAGTATCTGTAGTAGTTCTGCAAAGAAAAATGAAAATGATATAAATAAGTCCGCACATCGTCCCATCTTTTATCACTTAAACAGGAATGGCCTAGGTAAGTATTTTCTAAGACATTTTTGTTTTGTATTGTCTTTTAACTGTTTGCTGTCATCGATGCCTCAAGGCTTGAAAAATGATACAAAAAATAAAGACTTGGCACAGAATTATGCTCCCTATTGTGTGCTTATTTCACGTGCAGTCACAATCCCACAGTGGGGAAACTTGAGTGTAGCAACGCATGCAACATAAAGTTGGAATTTAATAGGCATTACCTACAATATGATGATTGAGAGATTCAGCAGCCAGAGCTGGTGCTTAATACTTTTTTAAATTTAATTTAATTAAAAAAATTCTATTAATTTTTAATAGAAAGGAATACTCTCACTTGGGCGACAGTGGCCCAGTTGGCAGAGCATTGGCCTTTGAGCCTGAAGGTCGTGGGTTCGAGCCCACATTAAGACCTACTTCATGACTCCCACTGATGTCTGCTGTTGTGTCCTTGGGCAAGACACTTGACCCCACTTTGCCCGAAGCCCCCGCTGAAAGATCTCAGCTCCTGTGGACTCACCACCTGCAGGAGGATCAGTGAGGGGCTGGTGCTATGTGTACTGGGTGCAGCTCTGACTGCCACCCGCCCGTCCCAGAAATGGATTAAGGGGAAGAAAATGGATGGATGGAATACTCTCACTGACGGGAAGGGGGCAGTATTAGGGCGGGTTCTGGTTTCAGATGTTTGATTCAAACACTGTATAAAGCACATTTTTGTACGACAAATGTGTACATTCAGTGTATAATTTACAGTATGTGTATGATGTGTAATTTCCACAAATATTAAAAACCCCACGGTTGATTTCGAGAAGCAGCCTGTGATTGGTCGGCTCTCTCGCTGACCACTTCCGCCACAGGAAAAGCGTCGGTTTTAAAAATGTTCGCGTTAGCTTCATGCTCTATGGTTAGATTAGCTTTAGCCCGAAAGTGTTGTTGTGTTTGCTTCGCTGTGTTAACCAGTTTCCCTTTCTAGACATTTCAAAGCCCCATTACTTACATTAGTTGTGCTTGTAACGCGTTATTTAAAAGAAACATGGATGTCGATACACATAAGCTCTTTGATAAAGTTGCCAGAAAGATGGGATGGATGGACATGGGTGGACTGGATGTTGCAGTTGAAAATGTATGTGGACTTTTTTTTGTTCTTCAATCATTTGCATGTAATCAAGACAGAATATAATACTGCCAGGGTTTGTATGTTCACGTATCTATACTTTAGTTGAGAGGAACGATTGGGAAGAGCCGTCATCCCGGGACCAGTGATGGAAAGCATAGTTCCTCTGGAGGTGATGATGATGGTGCTGACAAAGAGAATCTACCTTGTCAAAGAAAAGACTACAGAGTAAAGGCTTCAAATGACTCGAGTGACGACGACTTCGATCAATGTAAGAGATCAATTACAGTAAATTACATGTGCCACAATCTAACCATTCATTATTTCAGTTCTTAAAACGCTTTCCACGCCGAAAAGCAAGACGCCATCTAAAACGCCTTTGTCTATGTCAAGTAAGAAAAGGTATGTAAGCAGTAACAACAAGCTATATTTAATGTTCTGTGATTTTTAACTAGATTCGTTTATGTTACAGCAGTGTTGTCGTCTTGAGTTCAGACAGCGATGGCACGTTTGAGACTTGTAAGTCAAACTCTTTACTTTGAAGGCAGAGCGAGGTTATTTCTATTGCACAGTTCATAGACAATGTGCTTAAGATTGAAACAATCAAAGGCATTAAAATAATCATACATACATAATCACAGTACATTACAAAGAGTGAAGAGGCAGTCCTTGAGTTGTTGCACAGCTAAACAGACCTGCTTTCAACCTGGATTTGAACATTGTCAGAGTAGAAGCCTGTCTCACTTTTTCAGGAAGACTGTTCCAGATTTTAGTTGCATAAATCCAGCAGGAGGCTCATGCCTGTGCTCCTCAAAGCCCTATTTAAAATAGGGCTTTAACAAGTATTTTAATAATCAATTAATCGCTTTTTGAAACCTAGACTTGAATAGGTTATATGACTAATAACACTGGGTAACAAAAAATATTTTTTGAAAATAGTCCAGGGTTTTCCAGCTGAATTAGACTAATTTTGATGCTCTGAGTCCGAAAATGACCTTGATTTTGCTCAATCAGGTCAATATTTTTTGCTACAGAAATATTTTTTTTAATCGATTTTGCGTAAAAAAAACAAATTTCTGCGGATCATCAGCTGAGAAACCCTTGACGTTTTTTCCGTTTTCCTCAAGAAATAAAAGTCAACGTATCCAAAGTCATTCAGTTTTTATTGACTCCGTCAAATTTGATAAGCAAAATTCATAATAGCGTAGACGTACGTAATCCGTAACACTGTATCTCAAAAAGTTGACCTGATAGAGCAAAATGCATGTGTTATTCGGACTCAGAACACCAAAATTATTCTAAATCAGTTGAAAAACCCCTGACCATTTTTTGGCTGTCAACTTGTGTAATAGGGCAGAATATTTTCAACTCAATGTGTGAGAAGTCATCTCTATAAAGTTGTTCTCCATCCCTTGAGCTTTGTTTTGGTCAAACATCTAAAAAAAAAAAAAATCCCACATTCACTGACCTTTTGGGATCCGAACAACTAATTGATCAATCAAAAAGAGAAGCCTCCAACTAATTGACACCCACTTGTTTTGTTTCAGTTCTGACTCGGGTAAAGACTCCAAACATCAAATCTCGGACCGATGCAAAGAGTGAGAGCAAAGACAGGTGCGGTTATTCCAAAGCACATGTAATCCTCAGACTGCAAAACGTGCTGATGTCCAGATGTGGTTTTGTTCTCCAGCTTCAAAGAGTTTCTAGTAAACGACAGCTGTTCTGACGATGACTTTATTGACGCCAAATCAGTTCGAGGTAAATCAGAGAAAGAACTCATCATATTTAGTGTGGAAGATGATTAGTGATGTTTTCTCTTCTCAGCTGTGCCCAAGAAGCCCCTCACTCCCTCTGTGCCTCTGCTGAGAAGACCACTATCTCAGTGTGACTCTCCGGTTTTTGTCAGTGACAGTGATGATGATGATGAGGAAAATATTGTAATAAAGAGCACATGGAAAACCCGTCAAAAGAAGAATAAACCCTCCTCAATCAAGACCAAGGGGAGAACATTAGACGATGAAGAGGATGATGATGATTCCTCATTGTTTATGACGGCTAAGCCTTCTCCGTCGTCAGTCTTGTCCAGTAGAATGACCTTGTTGACGGCAGAGGTTCCGCAGCGAACATTCTCGGCACCATCCAGACTCGATGAACCTTCAAGTTCAGAAGAGGAGTTTACTTCGCTTTTGGACAGACTTAAAAAGAAAAATAAATTGCCGTTTAGTACGCCTTCACCTGCCCCCAGTAAAGGTATGTTGTTATTGTTATTTCAAACATTTCTAAAATACAATAATGACAATTATACCGTTTTTATATGTAGCAGAGGTCAAGAAACCGGTTGTTCCTCACACTCCCATAAACGGATGGAAGGCTTCAAAGCTGAATGTTATAAATGACACGCCAAGCAATTTTATCACTCCAAGCAAAAAGATTACAGTCAAAGCGACTCTTAGCCAAACAGAGCCTCGGTGTGGCCCAAGCAGCAGGTATGAACACATTGAATATGTTACGACCATCATGTAATGCAGGGGTCTCCAACCTAAGGCTTTGGAGCAAACCGTAGATGGATTTGGAAATGATAATCTGAAAAATAAGCAACAAATGTCATTTACTCATTTTCTTTTAATTTTTTTAGAATGACATAAAACCATGTGAAAATGTTGCACACTGAGTTGTTTTTATTGAACCTATAGAACCTCTAATGTAGAGGTGTCAAACTCATTTTGCTCAGGGGCCAAATATGTAAAAAGAAACTAGCCGGGGCCGAAAGAAAGAACACATTTCTTATAATTGTTTTTCATATTATTTAGGTATTTTGACATTTGATATGTGTTTATTTAGTTTTAACCAACACCTGACCAAATATAAAGTTCAATATAAAACAATGTGTTTAACTTCTATTGATGTGTTGGGTTCAAATTGTAGAATAAATTTAATTTGGTTGTTTTCCTGAAAAAAATGATTGTGTATAACATGCCTTGGCAGCCCGTAGCCATAACACTGCAAGCTTTTAATAATCATTGATAATAATTATACAGGGCCACAAAGTTGTCTCGCAGGTCGGAGTTTGTCATGCCTGCTCTAATGAAACGGTTAAGCTCCTGGATTCACAAACTTTATACCTCCATTGCACTAAAGACAACATACTGATTTTGTGATTAAGATGAATATGATATTATTTATTTTGTTAGCTTGACCTATTCATCTTTACTTTTTTCCGAACTATGTTTAACACAGAATTTAAGGTTTCAATTAAAAAGCATGTTGTATGGCCCTAAATCCCAACAGTAGTCATCTCGGAGCACTTTACAAGCTTGTCAATTCACTAACACAGATCAAAGAATCAAACGGTTAAGGATGTGGCTACTCCATGATAAATAATCGATGGAGAATGATTATTTATTGACTTATAGGAATCTAGTGGTTGTCTTTTTGCGCCTAGATATCTGAGTTTATCCTGTGGGGACTTTAGAAAGCATCGAGTGAGGATACTTCTGTGAAAAAAGGTTGGAGACCCCTGATGTAATGTGTTTGTTAGTGCTAAGTGTTTTTGTCTTCTCAATAGAACACAATTGTGTAAAACCCCCGGCTGCTTTTTGGAAACACTTTCAAACCCTGGGACAACTTATGGACGCAACTTTAAGATAAACAAGGAAGAACTCACAAGTAGACTGTTTAAACTCTATAATGCCAGTGTGTTTGATGGAAAGGTATACAAAATGAAATTCAAAGGGTTAAAAATACGTGTAATGTTAATATAATTACGATTGCAGCTTCCAGCCACCATGTCTGTTACATGGAATAAGAAGATGCGCAAAACGGCAGGTTACTGCGTCACAGGACAAGAACGAGGAGGTGGAGGCCGCTACGCTCGCATCGAACTGTCGGAGAAAGTCTGTGACTCTGCAGGTAACAATCACGACTGGAATAGTTCTTTTCTGTCGCTTAGTTCAAATACTTCATCGGCTTCTCCATCTGGGTAGACCGTTTGCGAGACACTCTGATCCATGAGATGTGTCATGCGGCTACATGGCTGATAAACGGAGTCCGTGATGGACATGGAAACTTCTGGAAGCTGTACGCCCGCAAGTCGACAGTGGTGCATCCTGAGCTGCCCGTGGTCACGCGCTGCCACAGTTATGACATCAAGTTCAAGTTTCAGTACAAGTGTACGCGCTGTGAGAATACGTGAGTTACCAGAGCAGTTTATAATCCATTATTTTCTTGAAGCATTCTGTTTATAATAGATACACAAATAACAATATAATTACACTTTTTTTTTTTCATAGGATTGGGCGCCATTCTAAATCCCTTGACACAGACAGGTTTGTGTGTGCCCTCTGCACAGGGAGGCTGGTCTTGCTTAATCCTACCAAGGCTCCGACGCCTTTTGCAAACTTCGTCAAAGAGAATTACGGAAGTGTGCGGCAGGAGCTGGTGGGACAAAGCCACGCGGAGGTGATGCGTAAATTAAGTGCTGACTTTGCCTTGAAGACGAAAGTCAGTCAAAGTTGACTGCAATCATTCAAGTGGGTTTTCAAACAACCGTATACATGGCAGCTAATTCTATTATTTGTATTTATTTTGGTGTTTGCCGTATATGAGCCATATCATTTTTAGATTAATTGTTTTTATAGTGTATGAAATTCAAATCGTATTTTATCCCTGTTGATTCTGTTTTGTTTAAAGTAAATATGGGATTAATAAAGTATGTTTGCGTGCCAAACTGAAATACTTTCCTGAGCCTAATATCATTATCATAACCTTCATTTGAATGACTTCATCTCAGGACATAAATTGCAAGATAACTTTATTCACAATGTCAGTGTAGTATTACAATCCACATAAAGATTATGAACACCCTTTAGTTTGCGGTGGAGACACGCAGCACTTCAGTGGGAGATTACAAAGAGTGGATTGTTCATAGGCAGGCACACTCGAATATATATATATACATGTATAATATCTTTTCTTTACATTACAAAACTGGCAAATACTATGACACTGTCTTTCCAGTTGGATATACTAAATAGCGTATTCTTTAAATATGGCACAACAATAGCTTAGAACAACTAGCAGCATTTAAACCATTCATCCAACCTCATCCATTCAGTACAAGCATGTCTTCTTCATGATGCGGAGAAACTCCTGCTGGTTTACTTCTCCATCACCGTCTCTGTCTGCCTCGTCAATCATTTCCTGGAAGCAAGTTTGCTGTTAAGGACTTCTTTTCAAAACAAAATGGGAAATAATCTAGCAAGTAACATGTTTCACCTGCAATTCTTCATCTGTGAGGTTCTCTCCCAGCTCTTTGGCCACTCTTTTAATATTTTTGAATGAGATCCTTCCCGTTTCATCATCATCAAAGAGTCTGAAAGCTTTTAGGATTTCCTCCTTTGAATCTTTTTCAGCCTAAAATAGACGAACATTATACAACATACTTGTCTTGATTCATAAAAATTTAACTTTTAAACTACCATTTTATGGGTCATGACAGCTAGAAAATCGGTGAAGGAGATCTTTCCGGTACCCTGTTTGTCCACTTCATTGATCATCTTTTTAATCTCCTCTTTCTTTGGTTCGAACCCCAGAGCCCTCATTGCCACCTGATGGGTAAAGAAGAAGCACATTACAGCTGGAGTACCTAACTTTAAGATACAAACTGTTTCATCAATCCTATAATTTGTCCCAACATATTCTTGTAAATGTACAATGTTGTGACCAAATCAGACCACAACAGGCTCTTTTTTTAGACCTATTATTGATTTATTTTCTCAGTAGATAACAAAACAAAAAACCCTAAGAGTCACCATTTGGCATTTTGTGTTGAGAGCTGATTGGTAGGGTGAAGATAGTTGTCTTTTTCACTTTTATGTCTGAAAAAGCGGGTTCTATGATGTAACCCAGGCCTAAAATACATGCATATGAAAACCAGGATGTGTGGATTATATATTATACATGTTTTGTGAAAGGTAAGAAACCCCTCTTTAATTAAATAGTAAAATAGCATTTATGCACCTTGAGCTCTTTAACATCAATAAAGCCAGATCCATCAGTATCAAACAGCTCAAAGGCCTCTCTGATCTCCTGCTTCTGCTCCTCCGTCGGCTCTGGTTTGGGGGTGGTCTTCTTGCGCGGTGGTGGTACTGGACCCTGCAAGGAGGGTCTCTTTGCAATGGTAGCCTGATCACGATTCATAACAACAACAACATGAGTGATCGTGAGGTTAATAAAGGGTTTGTATCTGTCTGATAACGGTATAATTAAAGAAAACGAATGTAGCAATTAGTGTCTTACCATTATCAGGCGAATAGGGAAAAAACACCACTTTTACGTCTTCTGTTGAATTCCACCGCTGTACTCTTCCGCGTTTTAAAATAGGACGTTTGGGGGGAAAGAATGAAAGGACTATGGCACTATTAGTGTTATATTATATTTTTTCCTCACGAGGATGAACCCAAAAGGAGGAAAATAAATTGACGTCTCTCCCCACAGCGTCCAGTAGAGGCGTTTGTGCAGAGGGTGCGTTGGATTTGATCACCAGCATCGCACAGTGTGGTATGCAAGCGCACCTGTCGATGATTGGTAAGAATTATAGTTGTGACTTCTTTTCATAATGTGCTGCGTTTGTACATATTACCATCTTTAACTCTAGGACTCTCAGAATTATGAAATCACAATGAGGGAACACTGAATTTAAAATACTCGTCGCTGCCTGGGTAATAACAAAAGGTCCATGAGCAGCTGCACTGACATGCTTGCAATACTATTCCAGGCAGTTAGTAATTGTTATAAATTTTGTCGCATCATTGCATCTTTTGCTGTGACTTGAATTTATTGTCCCTGACAAATACATTAATCCATCCATCCATTTTTCTTCCCCTTAATCCATTTCTGGGTCAAAGCTGCACCCAGTCCACTTAGCACCAGCTCCTCACTGATCCTCCCGCAGGTGGTGAGTCAACAGGAGCCTCGATCTTTCAGCGGGGGCTTCAAGCAAAGTGGGGTTACGTGTCTTGCCCAAGGACACAACAACAGCAGTGGGAGTAGGAGGAGGTTTCATGATGGGCTTGAACCCATGACCTTCAGGCCCAAAGGCCATTGCTCTACCAACTGAGCCACTGTCCCCAAATACATTAATAAAATACCTAAAAAAAAAAAGATGGTAACACTTTAGATTTGCCCTTACAAATTAACAGCTAATTAAGTGCTAATTAGTCTACCCTAAACTTAACTCACATGAGTGAGTGTCAGTTAGTAGCTAGATGAATAAAGCCCAATTAAGTTATAAATTATACACTTATACACTATCTCACACTTAATTATCTGTTAATTAGTGAGGGCTAAACCTAAAGTGTGACCAAATACACATAATACACATTGAAATACACAAGTGGCAGTAAAACCATTTTTAAAGGTCCTGTATTTTGCTTTTCTTGATTTTTCACAGTCCATCCTAAACACATGTGTGACACAAATTTGAGTGATACACCATACAACACTCAAAACTTAAAAATTATAGCCATTTCTTGCATAGAGATGATGTCACCTCTCAACGCTTGGATCTGTACTCCTCCCCCTGTGAGCCCAACAGCAGATAATAAATTAATGCCAATTGGAAATAGATTCCAGAAAAGAAAAAAAAAAATCCTTTATTTTCCTCGAAAAAATGTTTTTTAATACATGTGCGTGGTTTTGACCTCAAACCCGGATGTGTGACGTCACTACGGGCACCAGCTCATTCGAAATGGAGTGTACAGAACAGCGATTCAGCGATGCAAACGGGAAACCAGTGATAATACCTCGTCTACGGACCGAGTATCAAAGAGTTACAAGAAGAAGTCTTGCACTTTTTGCCTCACATGTTGTATCATTACTGGAAGTCTATGCACATGTTCAGATTCAGCCTACTGTATGTATCCCACGGTAAATTCAAATTGGGCGACAGTAGCTCAGTTGGTAGAGAATTGGCCTTTGAGCCAGAGGATCGTGTGTTCGAGCCCAACTTTCACCATCGACTCCCACTGTCTGCTGTCGTTGTGTCCTTGGCAAGACACTTAACCTCTGGGAACACCAGCCACAGTGGGGTGGCTGTAAAGTGCCAAACTGCTGTTGTGTCCTTAGGCAAGACACTTCATTGCCTAGAATGAGTCTGGAGTGTGAGTGAATGGTTGGTGGTAGTTGGAGGGGCCGATGGCACATACTGGTGGCCTCGCTTCTGTCAGTGTGCCCCAGGGCAGCTGTGGCTACAGTAGTAATTTATCACCACCGTGTATAGAGTGAAAGAATAATGACATGTAAAGCGTCTTTGAGTGTCCAAAAAAGCACTATATAAAACTGATGCATTATTATTATTAAATTTATTTGGGCAGCACAGGGAATAAAATGAAACGTCAGACAGTAACATAAGCAATAAGATTTGAAGTGGAGCCCATACAAACATTGGAACATAATACAACATTCTAAGCTCAAACACCAAAGTCCATATCACCAACAAGCTACAGAAAGATCAGCAGTCTAATAGTGGTTGGAACAAAAGATTGTATGTGATGATTGGTTTTACAATATATACAATTTACCACCAACTTCACCACTCCCACTGATGTCTGCTGCCGTTGTATCCTTGGGCAAGACACTTAACCACACTTTGCCTGAAGCCCCCGCTGAAATCTCAAGTCTCCTGTGGACTCACCACCCGCAGGAGGATCAGTAATGGGCTGGTGTTATGTGTAATGGGTGCAGCTCTGACTGCCACCCCCCGACCCAGAAATGGATTAAGGGGAAGAACATGGATGGTTTTACAACATGGTGCAACATAACGTCTTCCTGATGGAAGATTCAAAACATAATCAGTGCTGGACGTCCGAACGTTGCATGGGACCTTGCGTGTGCGTTTGTAAATCCCTGTTGTGAGCACATGTAGTGTCAGCGGAAACACCACAGTCCAACGTCAACTCCAGGTTTACTTGCGGACCTTGCACTGTTCCAATCTTTGTCTTAGGTATTTATTAATGTATTTGGTGACAGTGGCTCAGTTGGTAGAGCAATGGCCTTTGAGCCTGAAGGTCATGAGTTCGAGCCCACCATGAGACCTTCTTCACGACTCCCACTGATGTTTGCTGTAACCCCACTTTGCCTGAAGCCCCTGCTGAAAGATCAAGGCTTCTGTGGACTCACCACCTGCAGGAGGATCAGTGAGGAGCTGGTGCTAAGTGTACTGGGTGCAGCTCTGACTGCCACCCCCAACCCAGAAATAGATTAAGGGGAAGAAAAATGGATGGTTTAATGTATTTGTCAGGGACAATAAATTCAAGTCACAGCAAAAGATACAATGATGCGACAAAAGTTACAACAGTTACTAACTCCTCCAGTCTCTGTTCCTTCATGTGCAATGCGCAACACTGCAACTTCAGAATGCCCACGACAATGTCACTTTATCTACTTGTACAGTATATAACTCCTCTGCTCTACATACATATACATATACATATACATATACACATAAATATACATATACATATATATATATATATTATTTGGTATTGAAGTATTAACAGCTAGCTAAGACACATAGCTACTACTTATTTTGTATATTTTCTGTACTCCCTGTGTGCTCTTACTACTGTCCTATATGTGCCCTGCAACATTGAAATATCCCAATCTCATCTCCATGAAAAATAGAAGGAAGAAGACATTTTTGTTGAATTCTGATTTAGGGCCTAATTGTCCACAACGTCATATTTCACGCAATCAAACTATGCAAAACATAAAATATGAGCACTTATAATTGTAGGCGGGGCTGGTGTCTCGTGAACGCTTCTCATTCGTCTGAACCATGGCGTTCTTTCACGTATTTCGCATCCTATTGGCTGAACGCACTGTCACCTTTGTTCCGGGTTTTGCTTTGGCCAATCACAAGGCCGTTCTCGCTCGGCTCATTCAGTCTCTCAAGTTAAGTTCTTGCTGCACTCTCAATACTTGGTCTTTTTTATTTTTACCTCTTAAATTCTCTCGGTCCGCTTAGTTTCTATAATGGCCACACGCGTTCGACCGGTGAGTTGTACAATTCTCCTCTATCATAGTCTTTCATGTTCATTTGAGTTAGAGTAATGCAGTCAGCTTATGAACCTGCAGCGATCTCACTTATCTATTGTTGCCTTTCTTGTACAGCCTGTCTCCAATGTGTTTTTTCTAATTTACTTACAGAGTGTGAAAAAGTGCCTTGTTATCGGAGGATCCGGTTTCCTGGGCAGACATCTGGTGGAGAAGCTGTTGGACCGAGGTTATGCAGTCTCTGTATTTGACATCCGCCAAAACTATGAACTGCCCAATGTTATATTTTACCAGGGAGATCTCTGTGACAAGCAAGTGAGTCCTACAGAAAATACATGTGACACAACATGACAGCAGTATTGAATTTGCTTTAAAAAGTTTATTCTGAATGTTTCTCAAACCTAACTTTTTACATTGAACAATTCATGTAGTTTGTCCACAGAAAAGTCTTGTATCAGTAAAATGCACACAAATCAGAATACAACCTTTTGTTATATCTTTTAAGAAAATATTGTATCTTTGGCCCTTTGTGTCGTTATTTGGCGCTTTGGGTTGGTTCTTAAATCAGTCCTCTTTTTTACGTGAAAACAAGTGACGGAACCAAACTGTTTTGAACGTAGACACCATTATAATGACATATATCACTGGTGTATAAAATGCACCTCGATCAATTTAGTCAAAATATAGCGCTCACTTTAATATAAGCCTCTTGTTTTCATGTTGTAAGGGAACAAGTAATCAACAGCTGATGGAGCAATATTCTAATGATCATAGCACCCAATTTATTTTGACAAAAGCTAAAACTTGAGTCAAAATAATTAGTTCATAAACTCTGCTCTCAGTCCTTGTGTCACCTCTCTACTTTTCACATAAACACACTGGGAAGCAGAAATGTGTTAGAGCTGTGTCTGAATCCTAAAGTACATACATTGGCTGCATTACTATACAGGCCACATAGTTAAAACACATGAAAAGGTTTGTAGCTTAAATAGTTTTATGATGTGGTTTGAAAGTGTGCTATTCCAGCTTTAAGCAGTCATATTTGATTTTCATTTCAGGCTCTGTTGTCAGCTCTAAAGGATGTATCTTTGGTTTTCCATTGTGCCTCTCCAGCACCTGCCAGTGACAACAGAGAACTGTTTGAAAGGGTCAATATTCAGGGCACGGGCACCGTCATTCAGGCTTGTAAAGAATCGGGAGTTAAGGTGACTATAAGATGAGGCACAGTTTGGATATTCAGTGAAAGTTTTAGTTAGATTTAGTAAGAAAAACATGTTTCCTTGCAGAAAATGGTTTTAACAAGCAGTGCCAGTGTGGTGTTTGAGGGTACTGATATAAAGAATGGAACAGAGGGTCTGCCATACGCCAAGAAGCCTATTGACTACTACACGCAGACCAAGATCAAGCAAGAGAAGGTACCTTTTTGTTGGACATTTTCACTTTCTTTTATTGCATCCAAACAGTGGGAGGTGTGATTTTCTTTGACACAGAGCTGACTTTTTTTTTTTTATCAGTAAATTATAAATTTTAAAACGATAACATTTTAATGCACTGGAACTTTGATCCAATATATTGCCAACCCTCTATATTTGTAATATGCATATATGTCATTACTTTCCATAGAAGTTCTAAGTATTTTACTCAAATACACCACCTTACTCATCACTGACTCTTTTGCAGATGGTTCTTGAAGCATATGACAGCGAAAGCGGTTTTCTAACAGTTGCCATTCGACCTCATGGCATATTTGGCCCGAGGGACCCACAGTTGGTCCCTATATTGGTAGACACAGCCCGCAGAGGAAAAATGAAATTTATTATTGGGTAAGTCATTGAAGCAGAAAGTCCCACAGGTTTTAATGTGTAAGTCCATCATTCAGTGTCAGAACTTAACATCAGGTCCACTTCACCAAATGCTTTTTTTATATAATATATATATATATATATATATATATATATATATTATATATAATCAATGCATTTTCAGTGACTAGTGGAAAACTTCAGAAAGGAGCCTGAGGGCTAAAATGAGGGCCTCATTTTGCCCCTGGCCCAGAGTTTGGACACCCCTGTACTAGACTGACGAGGCGCAATCAGATCAGACATGTTGATGTTGTTTTCTGCAGCGATGGGACCAATCTAGTGGACTTCACCTTTGTAGAGAATGTGGTTCATGGACACATCCTGGCAGCTGAGCGCCTCAAGGCAGACTCTCCAATTTGTGGAAAAGTGAGTAAAACAGTTTGAAAGTTTAATAATGTTTTTGGACCTCTGAAAAACAGTTTTCAACATTTTGCTGAGCTGTCTTGCACTGTTTCTGTTTTTTAGGCATATCATATCACCAATGACGAACCAATCCGCTTTTGGGACTTCATGTCTGAGATCCTGGTGGGGCTGGGATATCCTGCTCCCCGCTATCACCTGCCCTATCTCTTTGTTTATGGACTCGCCCTTCTGCTGTGGCTGCTGGCTTTGCTCTGTAGTCCTTTAATCTCTTTCAAACCCACGTTTACACCAATGAGAGTGGCTCTAGCCGGAACACATCATTACTACAGCTGTGAGCGGGCCAAGGAGGATATGGGCTACAGTCCAGTCGTCACTTTGAAAGAGGGAATAAAGCGCACAGTGGAGAGTTATCCTCACCTCAGACAAGGAGCATGACTATTATGAACACTAAGTAATACTTCTACAATATACTCTTTACCACTTGGTGGCAGCAGAGGGCTTTGTTTTTTGTGTAGTAGGCATAGGCCGTGTAAGGTGATAGATGTATGGTTGAAGCACACATATGTTAAAATGATCTTCCATTTAAACTATGATCCATGAACAATCGTTTTGGGCTTCAATGGTCCATAGGTCAGCAGTGTTTAAGTCTTGGGAGACTTGGGATTGGCAGAGTATCTTTGAATGAATGATTATCATTCATTCAAAGATACTTTTCATTGTGGAATGATCCACAATGAATCATACAGTTTACGCCCACCAGATGAATTCACTTCTGTATGTAGTAAAAAATACTTGATTATAAGCATGCAGTATGTACATAGTAGGGCACACAACAATTCTGATGCTTGTTTTGGGTAACTCAGAAATCCTATGTAGACAGTAGAAAGTGTTATGTAGTTTAAGTTTAAGGCTGTCACTCAATTATGGGAGGAGCAATAAAAAGACATTCCATTCTGCTGTCACCAATGATCTAACAGATTAGGATTACAATTTCCAAGGGTGGAATTATAAATATGTATCCTCTTTTGTTTTTGTTGGTAGCTTGTCTAAAACATTTTTGCGATCTAATCGGTCACATTTAAAAAATAGTTGAGAGTGAGACCAAGCACTGATCAAGTGCAATTCACATGTCACTGGATCACCAATCTGACTGGACACAGAGAATGTGGAGGTTGTAGTTTTAAACCACACCCAGCCGAGACGCTGCAAAGCAATTAGCAAAAACGATCAGACTCCTTATTGGAAGTGCACAGCGTCTACACCGCAACGGAAAAGGATGACGTTCTAGCGCACGGCCAGTAGTGGCTTCCTCCATGTGGCGCTCAAACTCCCTGAAACCTCGTCTTCATGTAAATTAAAGGCCAAACCAAACCTGTTGCAGCGTCCTCGTGTAAACAGCACCTTAGGAGCAGTCTGACAACAGCTGCTCCAGGACGGCCAGCATTCACGTCTGCTTCGTTGTAATCATTCCAACATGATATTGTCAGCAGTACTTGGGCCTATATAGCTGTACTTTTGCTTGAGTAGATATTTGCTGTTCTCTTTCCAGTGTTTAAGAAAGTAGTGCTCTTTCCACCCCACAGTGAGTGAATGGAGTAGGGCACAAGTGCAGAGGTGAAGCTCAGATACTTAACATTGTCTTTAATTCTGCGTACTCATGTTTCACTGCTGTAGTCAGACGCAGGTGAGCTGTCCGACTGGTTTTTGGTGCATTTAGATAAAAGAAAGCAGCCTTCACACGTACACTAGTCTCACCTCAGTGAAACTCTAACATTTCCTCTTTCATCTGTTCTCTCTCTGACAGAGGTTGTGAAATCTATTCACACCCATTTAAATTCAAGCACAAGAATACCCAGCATTTTTGAGTTCGTCCTTACTCAACTGGGAAACTGATCTCTGAAGTGGAATGTAATGGGTTGCAGGAACACTAGACAGAAAAAAATAATTTGAGGGGAATGTCTTATCAATTCTGTAAATTAACTAAGATGTTACGTCTAGACCAGCGGGTCCCAAAGTCCAGAGCTACACCCTTACCAATCAAAACATATCCTGGATTCCTCATATATTTAATGGCACATTATACTGAAGAATTATATTATGTTTTTCTTTTAAATTTAGAAAAAAGTATATAAACAAGACTGAAGTTGTAAATGATGTAATAGTTGTAATTTAATTTGTGTGGATTCGCTTTAAATCTACACATCCACATCAACTGGTGGTTGAGTGAACAATGTTTTTCATGTTCTTTCATCCCACTGAGACCCCCGCTTTGGGAAGCTCTGGCCTAGACAGTTAACTTAGACAGTAAAGTGCTTGAAGGAAAGGCAAGTTTATTTGTACAGCACAATTCATACACAAGGCAACTCAAAGTGCTGAAGAAAACAAGATAGATTCAGAACATTAAAAGAGTGAAAATAAAATCAGTATACAGCTAAACAGAACTGTTGTCTCACATTTTTAGGAAGACTTCTAGAGTCTAGCAGCATGAATCTGAAATGCAGCCTCCCCATACCCATGTTTACTACATGAAAATGACTTGGACCACTGACAATGTTCGATATTAAGTAATGGACTAAAAAAAAGACATTATATGCATTATACAATACGTACAAAAGCCTATCCTTTGTATGCTCAGGACTTGTATAATTTGAACTAATCTGTCATTCAACACTCGAGTACTCCTACATGAACATTATTACACCAATTCACATCTGCTTTTTTCTCCACTCCATGATCTTTATAATGGTTATTACAGACATCTACCTGTTGGCATTATCCGTCTGAAGAAACACAGGCATCTCATTAAAACACACACAATAGTTGTTTTGTGTTTTCGTGAAGCCTCTCCATTCAGTTAATACTTTGTTTAATCGCATCTTGACGGCAGTGCTGTGTTTATTCTCACCGGGAGGGCAGCGGCGTGATCCCGCGGGAGACGTTGCTATGTGCCACTTAATTTGAACAGAACCCATGCTGTGTGCCTGCTTTCCTTTGTAAACCTCCTCCCTATAATGCACTTTCTAATAATTGACTTTCTAAAAGGTAATTGGCAAAAGTTGGTGAATAATTGGCTTGTTTGTATTCTAGAGACTACTAACAAAGCTCAGATTGGGTCAACAATTAGTGATTTATTGTGGTTATTTATTTTCTTTTTGAGTTTTTGCCATGAAAAATATGGTTCAATGTGCTCTTTTACATACAAATAATAATGAAAGAAGATAAATAAAACCATATGTTTATATAAAAATCATAATATAGAATGACAACCAAATAGAATGTTACAATAAACAACCAAAAACATAAAAAAAAAACCGTCATTAATAATTGTATTTTGTTTGTATGGATGGTGTGCTATCTATCTTTTATCTAGCTAATGATGAAAAAACAAAACATTTATAAAAAGGCAAGACAAATATGTGACTTGGAACAACATGTATCACACCACACACACACACACACACAAATGGGTTTTGCTCCACCCATTTCTTGACTGGCTTGGCTTGTTACGCCTGTATACCTGCTTACTAATGCAAGGGACCCAGGCACCTGTCAACCACACTGTATTTGAAATCTGCCTCATAGGTAAACTGACTGGGCACTCATCATCTGGATAGCCTCTCTTATTTTGGGTATGTACCAAAAAGCCACCGATATGATGTTACGAATTATTGTTGAAAAGCGATTAATCATCATTATGTAAACTTTGAATGCGTCTCAGTGTTTGCACTTATTCCCTGGGTGTTTCCTCGCAATGATTGAAGTGCTGTCGGTCTTGTTTTAACTTTGACATCGTGCCGTATTAATCATTTACCATTATGGCCTAAGCCATGGGTAAATATGTCCTCTGTGCTCTAGCTCTATTTGTTTTTAAGCGTGCATTATATTCGGAATTCTTGAAAAGGCTTGCTGTAGGAAATCTCACTTGTGATTTCACTCTGCCTGAGGATTAAAACAAGAAAAGTTACATTTGCATTTTGAGTTTGGCCATCATACAAGTTTGCATGCGCTTGAAGCCAGTGCCTGTGCAAAGATAAAAGAGCTCTCAATTCATTAATATTTCTCATTCTAAGAGTTCCCTAAGGACAGGTTTTCCAGTGAGCTGTTTTGTGTGTGCTCGTTTTCAAGGGTCTTTATGCAGCAGTAATTTTCTCCTCAGTTGGCACTAATTTTTAGACATTAGGGTAGAAATGTGTGGCTTTCACATCTAGGAATTGTGCTGGTTTTTTTTGGAAAGTGGTCAGACAGGCTGATCGGCATGTTTCAAGGGTGAGACAGATGCATTCCTTTCTATGCACATGGATTTTATTGTAGAACATAGTGTGGGAAGAAGTCATCATTCACGCTTGTTTATGTAACAGATGGCATTACATTCTTAAAGAGGTATTCTGTTGTCATTTCAGGACGTAAAAAAGGACAAAAGCAGGAGCCATGTCAAAAGGTAAGCAGCAAAATCACACGTTTATTCATTTATTTTTTACATTTTATCGAAGGACAATAAACATCAAGACGGACAAACAACAGAGATATAAGCTTAACAAAAACTAAAAACAAAGCAAGGACAAACAAGGGACAGACAAAGAAATGTCTAAATAATCAGAATTTTATCCCACCTTTTCTTTTTGTTTCTTTTCTTTCACACGTTCTCAATGATTTCCATGTAGAGCTTAGAGACTAACCAAAACTGTGTTGTTGTTTGATCTCAGAAGGGGGAAAGGACTCTGTATTTAAAACCACCAAAGTCCGGACCAGACTGAGAGGAGACAACAGCTGGCTCAAGAGCAAGTCTGATCCTCAACCTGAAGAGGAGGAAGAGAAGCCCTGGTAGGAGAAACATGTGCTCTGTGAAACTGGGGTTATCTTTAAATTCATCTTTACCAAACTATGAATTAAAGCTGGGCCACGTAACATTACAATCCTGTAATAAAATCCATAGTCTCCCTTTTAAAACAAGTTGATCAATCTCTATTTCTCACATACATGTATTTTTACCCTCTGTCCCATCTTTAGATCAGCTTTTTCAGACAGTAGAGTGAAAAAAAAGAGGACTGCCCTCACTCAGCCAATCAGCTCTCAACCCAAAGCATTGTAGTGTGGTGTTTATAGCCAACAGATTAGTACAGTATTCAAATAAGATGAAGAAATCATGCCTGGTGCATATTTTTTGATTTATTATAAGAATGACGTCACATTGTTCTTTTACTTTGAGGCTCCTGCTATGTGTTCCAAGACAGAGTGGCCATAGTTCATCCTTTTCTGCAGATACAGGGCTGAATATGGCCCTGTCTTTCTCTCCCCTGAGAATTTGAAGGTTCTATCTGTGTTCAGGGTACTTCTAAGATATTCAGGTTTACAGTTTTCAGCCCCCATCGAAATATGAAGGTAGAACTTTATTGCTCAGTGGGGTTGGAGCTGTGAGAGCCTGTTCTTACAATACATGTCTCAATACATTCAGGGCACTATTAATACTATATGATTCAGTAGGATTTAAAAGATTCAAAGGGTTTTGGCTCCACCCAATTCTAACAAAAATTCTACACACTAAGCTCGTCCTTTGTTGAAGATTGATTATTATTGAAATGTATCCAAAAAGATCTACATATTTATAAACATATATATGAATTTTTATTGGAAAATGAAATAAAAAATTTGAAAAAATTAGAGAATTTTTAAAATAATACTAAATAGAAAAATTGAGAATCTTGAGATTTGAAATATCAATATAATTTTTTCAAAAAGCCCACCAGCTGTTTGCCAGGACACTTTTACATAGTGTTGTATTTCTATTTATAATCACATGCTTTGCAAACTGTTTGATCTTATCCAAAAATCTGCCCATGCTATAAGGTTTAAAGCCGAACACGAAGCAAGCGCCTCAGTTTAACTTTTATCTGTAATCTATACCATTAAAGTCTGCTCTTGACTGATGATGATTAGCCCCTGACTCCGGGCGGTTGCCAATTCATAAAAGTTAATACATTTTTTGACCCATTAACAGGATTGCAGAAGTCAGAGCCAGACGCTTGAACGAGGCCAACGTTGAATCCAGTCCAGTATCCTCACCCGTCCAATCCTCTCCCTCACCTCTCCAAACCAGCACTGAACGGTGAACTAAAACTTCTACAAACCACAATCACCACAGTTTATGCTTCAAATACAATTCAAAACCTTTTTATTTATTTTTTTTACAGATCACCCACGTCTGGATTTCTGATCAGGTAACACAGTGTTTTTAATGTTCAAATGTCTTAATCTAGGGGCGAGAGTAGCTCAGTTGGTAGAGCACTGGCCTTTAGGCCTGAAGGTCGTGGGTTCGAGCCCACCATAAGACCTACTTCACGACTCCCACTGATGACTGCTGTCGTTGTGTCCTTGGGCAAGACACTTAACCCCACTTTGCCTGAAGCCCCCACTGAAAGATCTCAGCTCCTGTGGACTCACCACCTGCAGGAGGATCAGTGAGGGGATGGTGCTCTGTGAACTGGGTGCAGCTCTGACTGCCACCCCCCCCAACCCAGAAATGGATTAAGGGGAAGAAAATGGATGGATGGATGGATGTATTAATCTGCTGCAATATTGTTTGATCTACATACACCATTTTTTGTTATCGAATAGGGGGGTATTTACAAAAACAGAAAAGACACCAACGACTACCACCAATGGCTGCAGGTATGAGCTCAAAGTTATACAGTGACATTTAGCATAAGACAAAAGTTGGCATTTACATTTAGAAACATTGAGCACTTTTTCCTCCTCCTTTTATTGCTCTATTTTTTTATACAGATATGTAAATGTTTATATAGATATATTCTTATTTCTCTTATTATCAAGCATTCACAGCTTTTTAAGAGGCATATCTCTGTATACTGTGAGTCCTCCTTGTGTCCTCCTTTTCTGCTCTTACTACTGTTCTGTATCTGTGCTGCAACACCAACATTTCCCCCACTGTGGGTGAAAAACAAAAAATCTCTCATCTAATCTTATCTCCTAAGTTTTATTGTGTGTTCTTGTTCGCAGCAGCCCAACTCAATTCACCAAAAAACCCTCTGAGACATACAAAAAAATGTGAGAACTTCAATCCCCTTTTGCAGTTTTCTCACGGGTGAATTTTGATTTTAACAAAGTGTTTTTGGTGTTTTTCTAGAGCTCCGCACACGGTGAGAAGCGTCACAGAGGTCCAGGAGGGCCAGCTCAGCATAGAGGAGCAGGAGAAGCGGTGAGATTGGCTTTAACAATCCTAACGCAGTAAGGTTTTCCCTTTTGGTTGCTTGTAACATTCGATTCCCAATACAATCTACATTTGTTTATGGCCCATCATTAAAGCTGGGGTACTTAACTTTCAAACCACAGTCAATTTAACTATATGAAATAAGATTCATGTCACTAGTTCTTTGCTCCTAAAAGCGTGGACCACCCTTACTCAGCCAATCAGCTCAGCCCAAAGCATCAAATAGTGACTCACAAGGCTCTTCATTACAGCTACGCAAAAGACAACAGGTTTTATAATATGGAGAGAGTTGTGGTCTGATTTGTTCATTTTACTTTTACAAGACTCTGCGAAAATGTATTATTTGTAGAGCGAAAGTTACATACCCCAGCTTTAAATTGTACCTGTGTCATAATTGTATGGGCTTTATTATAGCATAAACGTCACATCAGCAAAGTTACGATAAAATCTGGTATTGTCATTATTGGGTGTTTTTGTATAGAATATAAACTTTAGATTCATTAGGAGCAATTACACTAAACTCCACAGCAAATATACAATATTTTCTTTCTTTTTTTTTTATTTTTTAGAACGAAGGCAGCCAGCAATGTTCTTAATAAATCAGCACCAAGACAGCGCTCCTACGTTCTATCTGCAGCTAAAATATACGAGTATGTACGATGATAAAATAACGATGTCCTGCTAAGCCTAACCTTAACTGTAAATGCGTAATGTGTTTTTCCCTATTTAGTTCTAAAGACAAAACACCAGACTTATTGGTCAACAGCAATGCATCATTTGTGGCTCAAAGGTAATATTCCTTCTCATTCTAAGCCAATCTCTTGCATACATTTCTTTAATGAATTCAAAAAAGTTGTCAACAAACAAAAAAGTCTAAGAAGCAATACTTTAAAAAAACCAACAACTTTGCCCTAACCTACAGGGTCGACATTATAGACGATGAAAACAACGCAACGACTCCCACCTCCACATCCGTCGCTCCTCTTGCCAAACCGCGAACATTGTAAGGCCAATCCTGCTTTTCTAATGAGTTTTGTTCATGTGCTAGAATTCTATTTTAGTTTAAGGGCAGGTGTCAATATAACTCTTTGGGAAATCAGTACATTTTCAAACAAATATTTATTATCCCCCCATATTATATTTATGTCTGAAAGTCTGTTCTATTGGGCAATATCTTACATATGTTGTTGAATATTGTCTCCACTTTTAATAGACAATGATTAGACCTTTCAAGTGTAATAACAAGATGTAGAATTCTGTGTTTCATGTGGATTGACCCAGGAATTAGCAAAATGAGCTCTAAACTAGACAGATGTATTGATTCTAGTAGTGACCTTAGTTACCAGGACTGATTTTTCAACTTCCTTCCACCTATATATGATAATAAGCTATTTGGAATCTTGTGATGTTGCCATAGACTGTAAATCAGTCATGAGTAGATGTCACAAGAAGGCAACTTATTGATTGATTGGTTGATTTTGTTTCTGCACAAACTCACTGGATACTATTCATTGCTGACATACTTTAGCTCCAGCCCAAGTCCAACAGCAGCAGAAGTTAAGCTTGAAGAGGTGAAAGCAGAGGAGAAGCCCCCAGAGAAGGACCCGTTTGAAAACATGGTACCAGGCTGCACTAAAGTGGCCACACCTTTGCCAGAGCTCATCCCCGATCTGGTCCAAGCAACTTACGTCAAAGCGGATGACTCAGGTGATGCCGAACAGGCTGAGTCACATGTCGCAGAACCAGCTCCACCCTCGCCGCCCTCGCCACCTGCAGTCGCACCGCCGTCACAGAGCGTCACAGTGGAGTCCAATGTGGTCACGTCAGAGGAGACTGTGAAGACAGAACTGGAACCAGAAACGATCAACAAAGAGTTAAGGTAAAGTTATATACAGTATTTGTCACAACGATCTACACACCAACCTTTTTGCAAAATGTGTAGTTTTAGAGCAGGCATGTCTAAACTGAGGCCACATGCAGCCTGCTATGTCATTACATGTGGCCTTGCTAAACTTCTTTCACAATATTTCTGTTTTAGTTTATTTATTTATTTCAGGCAACTCAGACAATTTCAGGCATTTGGCGACAAGATGCAAAATAACATAAGGTCTGAAAAAGGGAATAAGCAGAAGCTAGAGCTTATAATGCCTACCCATTAGTATATATTTTAAACTTGGATACAGTGTATGTGATCCGGTGTACTTTAGCGACACGGTAGTGCAGTGGTTAGCGCTTGTGCCTCACAGCAAGAAGTTTCGATTCCACCTGCAGACCATTCTGTGTGGAGTTTGCATGTTCTCCCTGTGTCTGCGTAGGTTTCCTCCGGGTGCTTCGGTGTCCCCTACCCCTAAAAATGAAAAAATAAGTATAATGGGTCTGACATCCCCCTTCTGTACGGCTCCCATCTCTGTGGAGTGAGAGACAAATGCCAACAATTGTAAAGCGCTTTGTGACTCTGGTCTGTGAAAGTGAAAGGCGCTATATATTGTATAAATATATATAATTTATAATTTTTTTATATACTGTATATATAATTTGGTTGTGTCACCAAAATCCATACATTACAATATATCAATACAGTACATGTTGATGTGTTGTGAATCAATATGGACATGATATCATACCCCATTTTAAAGGCCAGAACAAACTTCAAAACAGTTTTACTTTCCATGTCTGGTGAACTAAAGTGGAAAGGTTTAGACACCCCCGTTTGATAATGACACTATTTACTTTGTCGTTTCATGTTTTCAAAAATAATATTGAGCATAAGTCGAACATATACGGTGTGAAAAAAATGCTTTCTGCCTGAAACTCCCTCTGCTACCACCAGAGAGAAAAGTTGAATTTGCATTGTTTTTATTCTCAAATTTGAAAATTACCGGCTGCAATAACAGCCCTGCGATTAGACACATTTATGAGCATCACATGGTTAAAAGCTAAAAAAAAAAGGTAAATTTAGGTTCATATGTGATGTAACAATTTCCTTATTTATTTTCTTCACAGCTCTGACCACGATGTCTTCACCCCCAGATATGTAGACTCAATAATACAAAGGTAAAAAGACATACAGTGTGTAATCTCCACGTGCATGTTGCTGTGCCTTATCTTATTTGACATCTTTTCAGATTTGAAGTAGAGGAGCCTCTTCAGCGTCTTCGGCCACCAACACCTGAGCCCGTCAAACTAACCCCTGTGACACTGCCAGAACAACCAGAGCAAGACCTGGTGCAAATTGAAACTACTCAAATAATGTGAGAACGAAATACTAAATTCATTTGGTTGGATAATAGAAGCATGACTCAAAACAAACACTTTCTTTTCTATGTATTCTTCATTTAGTTTGACAGCAGACGAGCCAGAGCCGCCGGTGAAAGAGGTGCAAAAAGAAGCAAAGCCAGAAATTCAGACTTTACTCGAACTGAAACCGGAGTTGGTAGAGAAGGAACCTGCCGATGTGAGGTAAGCACATTTCTAAGTTAGATCCGAGTAATCTTTCAGAAGTGACCGTGGAGTAATCTCTACTGTGAATGACCTTTTTCTAAATGCAGTGTATATAACAATGTTGAGTTAACCCTGTAGGCGCTGGGTTTTTCAGAAGTTATGTGAAACGGACAAACTCTGAAACTTTGTAAGAGACAGAGCACTGCTATAATCAATAATATATACAAATATTTATACAAAAATATTAAATAATAGTAATGGATTGGTTTGTATTGTGCTTTTTTGGACAAAGACGCTTCACATGTTATTATTTGTTCACGCCATACACAATAGTAATAAATTACGATTGAAGCCACAGCTGCCCTGGGGCACACTGACAGGAGCGATACAAACATTATGCAATGTGGGTGAAATGTCTTGCCTAATGACACAGCAGCAGCTTGCCACCTGGTGTTAGTACTCCCATCACGGTACTAACCAGGCCCTGCCCTACATAGCTTTGGAGGTCTGATGGGATCTGGCTTTCACATGCAAGTATGGCCACAACCAAATAAAAGAAAACTATTTTAGAAAATTGTAGGGGAACCGTTGAAAGTGTCCAGGATTCAGGAGCTTCAGCAACTTCAATTTCCTTTCACTTTTGAAAATTGCATGTTCTCCCTGTGTCTGCGTAGGTTAAAAATAAGTATAATAGGTCTGACATCCCCCTTCTGTACGGCTCCCATCTCTGTGGAGTGAGAGACAAATGCCAAAAACATTTGTAAAGCGCTTTGTGACTCTGGTCTGTGAAAGGCGCTATATAAATAAATAAACATTACTTACTTACTTGCACCTCTTTGTAAAGGGGAATCCCAGAACATTCCTGTCAGTTGTTTTAGATTGTGTCAATATGGACATGATTTCATACCCCATTTTAAAGGCCAGAACAAACTTCAAAACAGTTTTACTTTCCATGTTGTTGACCCCTAAATGAGTCTGCTGAACTAAAGTGGCCCTCTTATGAAAAGGTTTAGACACCCCTGTTTGATAATGACACTATTTACTTTGTCGCTTCATGTTTTCAAAAATAATTTTGAGCACAAGTCAAACATATATACGGTGTGAAAAAAATGCTTTCCGCCTGTAACTCCCTATGCTACCACCAGGGAGAAAAGTTGAATTTGTTTTGTTTTTATTCTCAAATATGAAAATTACCGGCTACAATAACAGCAATTAGACAAATTTATGAGCACCACTTTGTTTTGAAGTTGTCTGTTTTTGATGATATAACAATGTTGTCACATGGTTAAAAGCTCAAAAAAGGTAAATTTACAGAAGGTTCATATGTCTCCCGTAACAATTTCCTTATTTATTTTCTTCACAGCTCTGACCACAATGTCTTCACCCCCAGATATGTAAACCCAATAATACAAAGGTAAAAAGACATAAAGTGTGTAATCTCCACGTGCATGTTGCTGTGCCTTATCTTTTTTGACATCTTTTCAGATTTGAAGTAGAGGAGCCTCTTCAAACTCTTCAGCCTCTTCAGCCTCTTCAGCCTCTTCAGCCTCTTCGGCCACCAACACCTGAGCCCGTCCAACTAACCCCTGTGACACTGCCAGAACAACCAGAGCAAGACCTGGTTCAAATTGAAACTACTCAAATAATGTGAGAACGAAATACTAAATTCATTTGGTTGGATAATAGAGGCATGACTCAAAACAAACACTTTCTTTTCTACTTTATGTATTCTTCATTTAGTTTGACAGCAGACGAGCCAGAGCCACCGGTGAAAGAGGTGCAAAAAGAAGCAGAGCCAGAAATTCAGACTTTACTCGAACTGAAACCGGAGTTGGTAGAGAAGGAACCTGCCGATGTGAGGTAAGCACATTTCTAAGTTAGATCCAAGTAATCATTCAGAAGTGACAGCGGAGTAATCTCTACTGTGAATGACCTTTTTCTAAATGCAGTGTATATAACAATGTCGAGTTAACCCTGTAGGCGCTGGGTTTTTCAGAAGTTATGTGAAACGGACAAACTCTGAAACTTTGTAAGAGACAGAGTACTGCTATAATCAATAATATATACAAATCTTTATACAAAAATAGTAAATTATAGTAATGCATCAGTTTATGTAGCGCTTTTTTGGACACACAAAGACGCTTCACATGTTATTATTCGTTCACACCATACACAATGGTGATAAATTACTACTGAAGCCACAGCTGCCCTGGGGCACACTGACAGGAGCGATACAAACAGTATGTAATGTGGGTGTTAGTACTCCCATCACATAGCTTTGGAGGTCTGATGGGATCTGGCTTTCACATGCAAGTATGGCCATAACCAAATAAAATAAACTATTTTAGAAAATTGTAGGGGAACCGTTGTGGTCATTGAAAAGAAAGTGTCCAGGATTCAGGAGCTTCAGCAACTTCAAATTCCTTTTTTAAAAAAATGCATATTTTTATCACATGATCACCGGAAGTTCTTTGGACCCTGCGCCCTATATAGCAATGAGGCCAAAGTATGATATGTTTATGTGAAAAGGTGTGTTTATGTGAACAGCAGAGAGAGACGACACAAGGAAGTGTTCGGGAAATACACCAGACTTGTTTTTATGTGATTAGGACTATTGTTGTCAGAGAGTTTTTCGTATTATTATACAAGTTTTAGCAGGAAGTTTTAGCAGGAATTTCTAGTAGGAATGTTATTGTCAAAATAGATCACGTCGTGTCCAATTAAAACAGCCGTCTCTCATTTCATAGTTTTGCTCATGTAAGCTGTTGGTTACATGTTGGTTGCCTCCCCATGGTTAGTCCTGACTCTGGGGACCAGCAGGAGGCCAGTGCCTGTGCTCCTCAGAGCCCGAGTTTACTCATCTGGCACTAAATGTTTATTCTCTGTCCTGGTCTTGTGTATCTGCCATGTTCCACGCTCATTGGCTCTCAAGCAAACACACTCAAAAACAGTTTTAAGGGTCAATGTATTTTCCAAAACAACTGAAAATAGCTGCTCTCTTATTTCAGCACTGAACAAGAGTCAACCATCATAATCAAGGGCACGGAACCGGCAACTGGAGATTTACTTGGGTTCAACGAAAGGTTTGTTAGAACTAATACCTCTGGAGAAAGCCAGTCCACATGTGAGCACTAGGTGGCATTGTTGGACTGCGATATCACCACCAGACTTTCCCTTTTGAAATATTCACTGAATAAATTCACCTTTTTTGCTTTGCTTTTTCAGCCCAGACTTGGCTCCACTTGTCCCTCCTAGTCCTGAACCCCAGAGCGAAGACCTGCCCAGTCTTTTAGAAAGGTATAGTATAGGTGCAAGTGTTTTCCCACTCACATAGACATCATATTGAAGTATTACTATTTCATGAGCATACAAATCAATACCCTTCTAAGCAAGTGACCTCAACCTACCTTTCTAAGATGGATTGACAGAAAGTACAGATTTATAACTATGCTTTTTCTGTTGTTGTAGTAAGACGCCTGTCAAATCTAGCAGCAGCTTTGCCGACCTGCTGTCAAATGAGGACATTGTCATCACACAAGTGCACAGGTGAGAAAGACAAAGTGTCCCTAGGGCTATGTGCTCAATATGAAAGCCGGATCCAAGTCAACAACGTCAAACAATGGCGCATTAAAACATCTTATCTGCAAACAGACAACAATGGTCTGATTAGTATTGGCTTTGCTTTTGTCTTCCTCAGCCTCAGCACAGAGCCAGAGAAGTCAACGACAGTGAGGTGTGTATCTCAATGACAGGCCCGATAATTATGCATGTGTTCCACCAAAGAACACATTGTATCCACATTTGCCTTGTAATGATTTTGACAAAGTCTCTCTCTCTCTTCCAGCGAAACAGTCACAATAACAACCCAAACTGTGATCATTACTGATGAACGGTAAGGGGACAGCCTGCTCTGTGCTATATTGGGATGATTGTCAAAAAGGGCTTTCTGCCTTTGTAAATTGTGTATGAGACAAAGCATGCTAACCTCTGCGTGTCCTCCTTTCTGTTTTCTGTGCCACCGTCGTTGTGCAGTGAAGAGGAAAGTGAAAATTCCCCGAGTTCACGTGTTATTACCACAGTGACTGAATCCAGGTACTTAATTACACCGTCGTCGAACACCAGTCTGTTAACACTAGGACTCTCAGCAATCTGAAACCACTGAGACTCCCAGAGCAGTCATTTTGACGGCTCCCATTAAAACCAATGAAACTCATGTTTAGTTTTCTTCCAGTTTTATTAGAAGTGAGACATACATGCTAGTTAGTACAAAGTAGAGTACGTTTTTTACTTAGTTAACTTATGTACAGAAAAAAAACAACCCCTCTCACTCATACAATACATACACACACACACACACACACACACACGCACACACACACACAACATATCCAATTATGTTTTTGATTTATCTGTTAATCTGTTCCAAAGAGTAACACTTCCCACTGAGACACACATTGATTTTAAAGTACAGTTTTTGCTGGACTATAAGCTGCTACAAATTAAAGTGCATTCATAGCAATGCATTCTATTTTTACTTTGTTGGAGCGCCCCCTGGGGTGCAGGAAAGGATTTAGACACAGCCCTATCAGCTGTTGAGCTGATGAGTAGAACATTTTCCTGCTTCAGTGTGTTTATGTGAGTAGCAGAGAACATATATATTATATATATATTTATTTTTTCCCAATTGTTTGCTTTGTAATTATTTTGAGCATCTGTATCATGGAATATTTTTTGTAGATTTGTTTTTTAAGATGCTGTGTTTTAAAGTTAGGATGACAGTATTAAGTTGCTGTGGAAACGTAAGTGTCACCACTGAGCAGACGAACTGTCTTTCAATTTGTTCAATACAACCCTGATTTAGATTTTATTTGGCCTTGTTTGTTTACTATTCAGACTGCATTCAATCTTCCCATTATGAGTCATTGTAATCAGAATTCCTCTGACACAAGATGGGCCCTGCTGACAATTGAGAGTGAAATCAGTGTGAAATTGTTTTTCAGCTCGACTGATCCGTTTGATCCATATCCGATCGGGAACACATCCTCTAACAGGTAATCATATTGGTTTGGAGCTGCGACTGTTTTCCAGTCAGATAACATCTCGTCATGCATTATGCAACACTTTCTGATTATGAGCCACTTTCCTCTTTTGCAGATCCTCTGACCTGCTCCAACCTCTGGCAGACATTTCCATCAGCAGGTAACAGCTCTGATAATGTAAAAGCACCTTTACGTTGGCATCACTTTGCGTCACACTGTGTACATAATGCCTGGGTACTACTGGCCCATTCATGTGAAGCTTTGTTAAATAACTATGGTTTAGGAACAATCTGAACCACAGAAACATATGCTATCTGCACACTAATTCAATTATAAAGTTAAATTTCATCTTGTTTTCAGTGCATTTGACAGATCTGCCGAGACTAAAGAGCCCAACCCAGAAGCTAGGTAGGTACTGTATTTGTTGCAGTAGTGCCAAAACAGATTTTTTTTTGCTGTTCTGTGTCCCAATTTTTTTAATGAAACCTCTCCTAATCCTACATTGTAATCACTGTGTTGATCTTTCTGTGTCCATCAGTATGAGTGGAAATGTCTTGAATACCCTCTCAGATGACCTCATCCCAGTCAACACAGAAGCAACAACTACAAGGTACAAATAAAGCCTGAGTTTCTATATACAATTGTACAGTATATTACATACGAAAACTGGCCAAATACTGCAACTAGAAACTGGTTCTTTTAAACAGTGTTTGAATACAACAATGGCAGCACTCATACTGTATCTTTCTGTGTCGTTAACTGGTTCATATCTACTGCAGCCTGAGCTCTCGTTCGTGGGCACGCACATGGGAACCAGTGGAGTCGGGGAACACTGAGGAGAGGTGATGACACACTTAAACTACTATTATTCTGCCAACACAAAGCCATACTTCATTCATATCCCTCTCTCTGTGTTTGCCCATCACCCTCTAAAAGCCTTTCACTGTCTTCTCTTTCTTTCTCTCTCAGCCAAGAAGCAGAGGCGGCCCTTGACGGGGACGAGGAGAAAGTGATCATGTTCGAGAGGACGTAAGTTTTATATTGAGAGCTCGGGATACAAAACCGCTTCTCTTCATTTCGGTAACCTTGTCCTCTTTCACTTTGAGCAACGTTCGCAAAGCTCTTAAGTCGTTCAGCTAGAAAACATTGTGCAGTGATGCTGGTAGAAATAGGTCAGATAGAGCAGACACAAACAGACCCCCCCTTTCGTAGATATCTAGCAAGAGAGTAGAATCGAACTGTAAAGACTACAATTGTTCCCTTCCCCTAAAACAACACGTCTGCTTGTTCTGCAGGACGAACGAAAACGACTCGCCGTGGGACAGGTGGACCTCGCCGACTGTGTACAGCATCAGCAATAATGAGAAAGAGGAGGAAGAAGAGGAATCTGTCAAGTAAATGTCCTCTTTTATATATTGATTTTTCATGAACAAAGAGTACACTGCAAAAAAATTACAACAAAATAAGTAAAACATTGCTTGAATAAGTGGTGTTCTTGTGACATTATGATATTACAAAGTATATAAGTATAATATCACATTGTGGTGGAGGGCAGCTGAATAATCGCTCCTGGTAACTATGGGAACTGCCACAAGCAAGCTTTCTAGTCTTAGTTTAGAGCTAATTTTTCAGTAAATATTGGGCCAATCCATATGAAACAAAGTCTGTCACAAAGTTCCACATCTTTGTCGGTATTTTTCAACTATGGCCCATTTTTTTTCTTTTTCATAAAGGTGTCTAGAAGAGACAACATTCAAAAACATATACATAACGTTGGCTAGTAAAATTGACTCTCATACATAGGAATAATATGGCAGGTTTTGGAGTCTAAGCACTTCAAAAACATTTATTTGGCACTTGCCCTACAACTTCACTATAATCCTTTTACATGAACGCAGCCTTTTCTGATACTTTGGCTCCTAAAGAAAATGTATCATTATTTTTAGTAAATGGGACAAGTGGGTCTTTCAATGGGTCAAATACAAATGGGTCTTTCTGCCCTTACAAACATGTCCGCGGAGACAACTTTTATTGCACTTTAATTTGCAAAAGAGTTGAACCTAGAGGCAGTAATTTGTTTATGGAGTCAACTAATTGTCTTTTTGTGCATTAAAACCACTCACCGCTGCATCTCTCAGGGCAGTTTAAAAGTAAGATGGTGTTTTATTTATGTGTCTGATTGTTGCAGGCCAGACTATACGGAGACAGAAATCATCACTACAGTCACCACTATTCGGTAAGCCAAAATATACTATTCCAACTGATAGTTTCCAGTCCACTGTATGGAGCGGGGCTTTAGGAATGCACAGCGCAGCAGTACAATAGAGGCCAGACTGCACCTGGTCAATAAAGGCAACCCCTGGAGGAGAGTCGAGTCAGAGATCAGCGTCATTCACTTATAAAAACTGCAGCTTTCGTCTCATGTGTTGCCTTCACTTTATTGACTCCTGCAGTTCAAGGATTTCGGCTTAATATATATTTTTCTTTCCAGGGAGACGCACAGTGATCCTAAGCCCAGCATGGATCTGTAAGTTTCTCATTTTGACATGCAGGGGCGAGACCCAAGTTCTTGTTCAGAAATCCTTGTGTATATTTTGGTGAAAAGAAATTAAATGTTTGTGCTGAAATGTTTCTTCCCTGAAAAATGTGATTATGAAAAAGATTATTTGTAATATTCTATGCCATATCCAGTATTGTATTGTACGGCTGTATCCAACACCAAACCCTGCTATTATCCCATTCTTTTTTTGTCCGCTTGCCGGGTCCTGGGTGTCCCCTGGTCTCCTCCCGTGGGACGTGCACAGAACACGGAGGCGTCCTGGAGGCATCCAAAACAGATGCCCGAGCCACTTTAACTAGCTCCTTCTGAAGTGGAGAAGCAGAGGCTCTACTCCAAGCTCCTCCCATGTGACTTTGTTCTTCGATCTCTTAGCCCCGTTGCGGAGGAAACAAATTTTGACCGCTTGTCCTTTCGGCCTTTACCAAGCTCTTATGCATATCATCTGATTCTAGGACAGTGCTGTGCTTATAGATTGTGTAAAATGTATAAAAATTGATTGTCTAGATGTACATTTTATGATTACAAATAAGAAACGATAAGAGATCCTTTATCCCTCCCACAGTGGGGAAATGTCAATATTGTAGCGCACATACTATACAATATAAGTAGCTGCTCTGTTCCTTAGCTAGCTGTAAATGCTTCAATATCAATCTTTTGAATCAATCAATCTATATAAATATATATTATAGTGCAAAGCTATACATAAAGGGCAGGAAAAGTAGATAACATGACTTTTTTGAAAACATGAAACACATTCTGAAACACTGGGCATGATTACAGCCTTGACTATTTACAGATTGAATGACAAAATTCTATAAAACGTTGAAACCATTGCAACCATACCCTGTTATGTGACACCCCTGGTTGGGAACCACTGTATCGTCTTTCAAAAAGATTGATCTAAAAATAATGAACTGAAGAAAAGCAGTCTGTATGTTGTGTAGACAAATTCTTACTGCACAAACAAATACACCCAAATTCTAAATATAATCTACAATTTGCAACACCCGACTTGTATGTGAAATGATCAAGACTCTCTCGCCCCTGTTCCTACATTCTCTACCCTATTTACCTGTTTTTCTGGGATTAATGTTTAATACTATTCAGCGCGGTTCAAAGCGCGTTAATTATGTATTGTGATTTTGCCTTTTCACACATTTTTTCCATTCCTTTGAGATTACAGCAGGGTTGTGTTTTACTATGAGCGATTTAGGCCAAATCCTATGGGAATGCAGCTGGCTTGTAGAGATAAACTTACCTGCAAATTGTTCACCTATTCACTTTCATAGGATGTTAAATGACTAGATCTACAGGCCCATTGTCTTTCACTTTACCCTCATTTTCCTTTCTATAATTATCAGTTTCCAGATGTCAAATTAATGATCAGCTTTAGAGATGTCCCTTTGTCATAGCACAGGCCGTTAAACACTGTGCTATTACCAAGAGCGTGTGGGGAATGATTATCCCCTGCTTGACAAATATAGGCCTGTTTTACTATCACTAATCATTTCACTGACTCCGGAGTGAGCAAGGCTAACGCTGCTGTTTTGTCCCCTCAGCACTTTGACAGAGCCAGAAGCAGAAAGCAAAAAGTAAGTCATTTATACCAGTCTACACGGATCGACCACACATTTCAAATGGCCTAGAACTCAAAACACAGTGAACTTTGCACATACAATCAAAGCTCACTTCTGCATTCAGAGCCGCAGCTGCAAACTGGCTGATTTACAGTTTCCTCTTTGCACTACATTGTTATCTCTATAGGGAATCTTTTGGCTTCAATTTTGCTTGTTCTCCTGTAGCCTAAACCTAAAGGCACATACACGTTACTGCAGAGAATGAACTTGCACTAGTTTGTTGTCGTGTGTATGTGAGGATTTAGATTAAAGAGAGGTTTTTTCAGATTAAAATGACTGGATTTTAGCATTATACTTGCTGAGACTCAGGATTATTCTACTTTCTATAATTGTTTAAAATACAGACGAATAAAAAACCAATGCATCAATGACTATGTGCCTGTCCCTATCAAGTAATGTGTATTCCATAAGAAATGTTTTCTTTGTATGAACTATAAAAGCCACATCTTCGATTCGGTTCCTCTAACTATACTTTAATGAGCATATGTTTTTAGGCATTAAGATTGCATGGTCCTAATCTTTTGGCCTGATTATTACATGACTCTTTCTCTAATTTGATCCACTTTTCTTTTCCTAAGGCCGTTTGTGTACGTGAAAGAGTATGTCAATGCATCTGAGATGAATTCCAGAGATACAAACAGGTAATTTCATTCCTGAATATGAACAGTTGACTAGTATATCATTTTATTTTGGACTTCCATTTGATCAAAGAGGTCCTTATACTGTAGTATGATCTGATTTAATTGCATTAATCCATTCATTTATAGATCTGATTATTTGACATCAACATCATCAAGTTACAACTACAGCAGCCCTACTACTTACTTCAGGTAATAACACAAATCCTAAAAACAACATATGATACACAACTAATCTATGGTCATGTCCCCAACCAATGCAAATGAGTAATTCTGGTCAAAATGATTAATCACCAATGTCACCCCCATCATTCATGCACCAGACAATGTGAATGAAGTGTCTTGCCTAAGGAGTTCCTTGAAGTCTCCCATCACAATACTAACCATGAGCTTCCCTTTAGCTTCTGAGGTCTGACGAGATCAGGCTTTCACATACAGTTGGCGCTGCAAAAGACATTCAGTGAAGACAATACATGATTAGTGTCAAGTGAAGAGTACGCAAGTAGTATGGTTGTGTTTTATACAACTCACCACCTGCAGGAGGATCAGCGAGGGACTGGTGCGTTGAGACTTGGGTGGCAGCTCTGATTGCCACCCCCTCGACCCAGAAATGGAATAATAAAGGGGTAGAAAATGTAACGACATGACATGATGACATGACATATTGGATAAGTTTGGTTGTTTTTCCAACTAATGTGTTTTTAGTGTGTAGTCTTAACGCTGGGTACCCAGGTAAAGATGTTAGCTTAATTTGTCCAGACAGAAAGTGAACATAAACTGTAAACAAAACAGACTACAAAATGCAGACTACAAATGAGAGGTGGTCCTCTCTTTTTGTGCCTGAAAAAAAACCAAAAACCTAAGTACTGTATTGTACTGTAAATAGATTAGGGCCTCAGAGGATTTTTCAGCTACATTAACAGGACAGGTGGGTTCAGATCATGAGCATCGCGGTCCACAGCTGAGCTAACCCGTCTCTGTGACTGTTTCTCTCCAGTGAGTCATCCTACTGTACGTTCTGCAATAAGCAAGTGGGCAGCGATGCCAAGATCACCATCGACCATCTGAATATCAACTGCCATCCTGAGTGCTTCAAGGTACAATCATGCAGACACGTTCACTTGATGTAAGATGTGACACGGTGCTCAATCGCCTATTATCAAGGTTTTTCATTTATTTACACAACATTCTCAAGTTAAGCTTATGGAAACTTAACACTAGGATCATTGAAAGCGCTAAACCACAGTTTTATTAACTGCCCCATAATGACAGTTCATAATGAGTTTGGGCTACAAGGGGCCTCCATGTTTCCTCCCAAAGTGCCTACTTCGGGAGGGGGGTACATACATTTTCCCTTGCATTAACAGCTAATGTTGGTTGTGCCCAAAAGTAAAATGTTGTGAACAAATCAAACAGATTTAATTACAGCCATCGGCTCATCCCAGTAACAAACAACAATAGTTTTGGTCTGTGTCCATCTCCATCACTGTGTAGTGACGTGTTCATTCCTCTCTTGTAATGCAGACCATTGCACTTTATTGTAGTTGTTGAAACTGCATATATCAGTATATATATGTCAGTATGTACTTCTGCATACTGTATAAATAACCGTGAACAAAAAACTTGAACAAATAAAACGTTTTGTTTTTCATTTTTGCCTCCTTTATGGAGGACACACTGAGTTTGTCTTGTCACGGTTATTTATACGGTATGCAGGAGCACATACTGTTAAGGATGCATGAAAAACAACATTTCTTTGCTTTTTGTTGATAACTTTTCTATGGCAACCCTTTTCTCATTACAGTGCGGTGTGTGCAGTTTACCGATGGGAGACCTTCTGCACAAGATGTTCATACATGGTGGAATAGTCCACTGTGAAAGCTGCTACAGAAATGTTTAGTACTGACGACAGACCGCCTCTGATCCTCTTTCTCTCTTTCTCTCTCTCTCTCTCGTCAGTAATGAAGCGTTCCGTCTAAACTTACATTTGGTTCATGGTGTGATCAAAAGAGATCACACCACGTTTCGAACAATATCATGATAAATGCATTTTGTTGCTTTTTTGTTTTAGGTCAATTTTCTCTTTACGTTTTGGGGGAAAGCTTTCTGCCTCTGTAAACTACAGTATGAAGTAGGACTGGGTAATACAACAAAATAAGTCAATAAACCTGCTTTAAAAATGTCAACGATTATTAATTAAGGTCATAATAATGTTCATGTTTCCTCTCGAGTTCCAGCTTTGCGCCTAATAGAGTCTCCGTAGTTTAGTCCAGTTGAGTATTAATAACACGTTTCTCTAAAGGATCCATTTTTAGTTCCAAATCATACCTGAGCAGTTCTTAACTGATTGTTGTGGGGATTGATCCAAACTAAATTCGAAAATCAAGATGGAAAAAAATGGCTCAGCCCTAGTATGAAGGATACGTCTGTGGCAATGCATGGTTCAATGCACTTGTTCACGAGGTAGTTATGGTTTCAATGTTATTTCAGCTTCTGTTCAAAAAGCTGTTTTTTGTTAATTGTATTAATACTAAATCTTATTCTAATATAAAACTTATACAATACCCCAATCATGCTTTATGTGTATATTTTGCAAGCTAAAACGCTCACGTTCACTTACAATTGGAAGGTAAGGCTTCTGTTTTCTGAGCACAAACACAAAGGCAAAAATTTTCTGGGCAAACCGCAACATGCAGGCCATCATATTCTACCAAAGATCAGAATATAAACCACAAAAACTTTATATTTTAAATCATAAATGGTGGGCATCTTCAGTACAACATGTATCGAACACGTAACATCTAAACTTTAAATCAATTTGGATATTTTAATGAATTCTTTTGTTGAATATTTGAATGGAATTTCCTTTGAAAGCACTCTGTACATGTAGGGTGTGCTTTGGCTCATGGGCATTTGCCACCTGCAGAGAGTAAAGAAACAAATGCAGCGCTCCACAGTTAAACAGGCTCCATGCTTTCTGAGAACAAATCACCGGCTCTTTCACGGTTTAAAAAAAGGTCCTGCTGAGGGGATTGAACTAATGCATTACTGCAGTGAAAGTGTGTCAGAAATGTGGTTACCATGTCAATATTGTTGATACTTTGTCTTCCTGTCATTGATGCCGGGTAAGCAAATGTGTTTCAATATTCTAAAAAAAATCACTTTGTTTGGGCAGTTTTTCTCCAAGTGAACTATGGTACATATTTAAGAGATGTATTTCATCTTAAAAAAGAAAATCAGTTGTTGAGTTTTAAGAGTATATTCCAAAATGATAAAGAGCTGCAGTGTTTTCTGGACCGGCATATAAATTCTGTCTCCATGTAGGCCCCTCTTGAATACAAGACCCCATGTGATAGAATATATACAATAATAATAATAATGCATTGGTTTCATATAGCACTTTTATAGACACTCAAAGACACTTCACATGTCATTATTCCTTCACTCCATACACAGTGGTGATAAAGTACTACTGTGGGGCACACTGACAGAAGTAAGGCAACCAGAATGTGCCAGTATCGGCCCCTCTGACCACCACCAACCATCCACACTCACACCAGACTCATTCTAGGCAATGTAGGTGAAATGTCTTGCCTAAGGACACAACAACAGTTTGGCACTTTACAGCCTCTCCACTGTGGCACCTGGTGTTCTCAGAGGTCTAACCAGGCCCAGCCCTGCACATCTTCAGAGGTCTGACTGGACCACATGTGTTTAGCAGAGATGACTGTTTTAACCATTGTCTTCCATGCTACCTGTTCAACAACCTATTTTGACAATGTATGGTTGTCCCATAGCGACTAAAACGTGATAGTCAAATAAAAGGTCCATAAACTCTGCCCTGAAACACCCAAACTCTATCAAAAAAGAAATACACACATTGGCAAATTAAGCCTGGAAAATACGTTATATAACAATGTAACATCATTCCTCTCTCTGTATGTAGGTCATACTTAATATTTCTGATACAGATTCTTTGGGATGTGTATAAGATAGTACAGAAATAGTCAAAAACGAACACATGACTTCATATCGATCTCACTTTATTTGACCTAATGGGATACACATTTCTTTTTACAATAACTTATAAAATATTGATACTGATTATACTTGTAATATAAAAGTATAAAAAATAATATGGTTTATCTGAAGGTTATGGCACGTCTGACTCTTTAAAAGAGGCGTATTTACAAGAGTCTGCAGGCCAGCGGCCGTGATAAGAGCCTTGTCAGTGGTGTCCCCTGGATCGGCTCACAGCTATATTTTGGATGTGCTTCCAGAGCAGAGAAGGGTCCGACTCGTTATGTCTTATCAGAGACTCCAGCCCTTCGGCTTGGTCCAGGCTCTGCCAGTAATCCTGAGGCCATATTTGCAACCATCTGTGGAGAGATCCACAGATTAGGAAAAGACATCAGTGTGAAGAGCATTCCAATCTAAACATTTCCAGAGACTCCCATCTAAATTAATAATAACATTAAAAAGATGATTTTAGTCAGAGTAAAACTTACCCATCATCCTCTGGCAGGTCCTGGACATCTCCATATCCAGGCTGAGGCAGGGGACACCCCATGTGAGAGTTATTAGCCATTTTAGGTGGAAGTGGATCTACCATACGGGCTTTTTTGTGAGCTTTTTCTGATGCAAGTCTCATGTTCTCCTGATCACAGACATAGCATTCAAATCCATTCAGATAGTTCGGTTTACTCATGTCATTTACTCCCCATTCTCTAGTCTCCAAGGCCTCCAATAATCTAGTGTTGGCTATAGTCTTGGGGTTCTTGAATTGTAGATATTTTTCATACTCTTCATCATTCTCATCCAGATATTTGATAAAGTCTGCGAGCGCTTTTGGTGAAGGGAAGTCATCAATGATTATCACCGAGTGCTGGGTGGGCATCCAGTCTGCCACCAGCGCAGAGCCACGATAGATGGGCACGCAGCCTTGGTGAAGAGGCCGCCACAGTTTTTCAGTCATGTAGTCTGGACATAAGCCATTCTCCAAAGCCAAATGGAATTTGTACCGTGCCACAAAGTTCATGAAATTTGGATTCTCTCCAGTGGCAGTGGATGTGTCTTCTAGATGTCCAGGCATGGCTTTGTTGTTAAGGCATTTTCCATAAGAATCTACCTGAAAGGCAGAAAACAAAATCTGGTTTAACACAGGAATATATGAAATAATAAAATATACAGGTGAAACTCTGAAAATGAGAATGTTACATTTATTTCTGTAATTCAACTTGTGAAACAAATGTATGACATTGACACTAAGTGAAGTTACACATGACATAAATAAGTTTATTGATGATTATGACTTACAATCCTTTTGCTAAATATTCTAATTTTCTGGAGATGTTTTATTTGGGATTAAAAAAACAAAGGCTTGATATACAGAGATATTGTCCTTTTGAACCATATTCTAATTGTCTGAGTTTCACCTGCATAGTACCAACATTATATTAGAAAGAATAACCTCTATGTGCTTCATCAGCTCCTGGACGTATCGGTCTCTGTTCGAGGGCACATCACAGTGAGACTGCATGTACAGCACAGGGGCCAGACCTTCTCTCCTCAAACGGTTTTTCTCCTCCAGAGACACTGATGTGGGCCTGAGTAGGTAGTCCAGAGAGGGCAGCCACTGCAGGGTCAGGGGGTAGTCAGACTCCCTCCGAAAAGTAGCAGTATAATTAAACAGTCGGATTCCTGGTCCATGCGAGAGGAAGTAATTATTCATTGGCGACTCTTCGTGGAAAAGGGCCCAGGTCTGGTGCTTGAGTCGAGGGAGTGGTGCTTCATATGCACGGAAGTCTGTGCCATAGAAGATAATGGATGCAGTCCTTTTGTACATCTGCACCTAATAGAATGGAGACTATTAATCCTCAATACATAGTCTGTATATTAAACATTTCAGATAACTTGGCCCAGAGAGGAAAATACCTTGCGGTTGCTTGTCACCAGACAGGAGGATCTGGCACAGTCTATGCGCTCAGTGTCTCCAGGGAAATGTGGGAACAATCCTCCGCTCCACCAAAGCAGAATGGGAAGCTCCTTGTTGCTGCGGTGGTCATTGTTGCCTGGACCTCGATATGAACTGATGGAAGCAAACTCCATCTCTGATAAAGCACTCTGGGGCTGAAAGACTGCATGGTTTGCTGCCTCCCAGGCCTCCATGGGCAGCTGTTCATCCGCTAAAGAGGCAAAGGACACCCAGACCCAGCACAGGAGGCCAAGAACTGCCAAACACACACAGGGCATGAGTCTGCCCCTAACAAGCATCTGCAAGAATGAGACAAAACCATAGACTCTCAATTACTGCATACACCACAAAGGACAACTCAACAGTTCAACAGAATCACGTAATCTTTGCTGCATGTTTGAAAATGTATAATAAAACAAGCATTTCAATTGTTTCCGAAGTTTCTCGTATAACAACAGATCATTCATAAACCGTCGGCTTCTCTAAATGAGTTTCAAAGTTAAGACATATGACAAAGACCTGCTCTCCTACCATCATCACAGCAGCATGAAGATGTCCTTAAGCCGCGTTTTCATTCCTTCTGCAGCCCAGTGCTCCCTGAAGGCAGAGAGGAGCTGCAGTCTGCGGCACACACAGCACAAACAAACCAAACAAACACAGCTGATCAGTGTATTTCTTCGGCTCGCGTTTGGTGTTCATTGATTCATCGTCCACAGCGACACCATCAGGCCCGGAAGAGTAACGCTCAGACAAACGTAAAGATGCGTCTTCATAAAATATACCAAAACCACGGACAATGACAAACACTGCACATGTTTAATCATTCTGCATTGCATCATCCATTGACACTAAAAGTATTCTTTGTTCTTTTTTCTCAATTTACTTGCAACGATATTTACCATGTTTTTGGTCAAATTAAAAAAACATAATGACCACGTTTCCCAGATTGTTTTGAATCTATGTTTTGTCGTTTCTTTGTGGCTGTGCTGATTTTTATAGAGCACATTTCATACACAAGACAACTCAGGCTGCAGTCACAAGCACAACCTAGGCCTAGGCCTAGCCATGGCCTTTAATTGATCCATAACAGGTGTTCTGTCGAGAAGTGCACCCTTGTCGAGATTCGCACCCTGTGTGGAATTGTCTGAACGTTAACAAAACAAGTTACAGCCTGAAACAATCAGTAAAAAATAATCACACTGCATTAAAAAGAGTGAATATAAGAGTGTAACACGCGTGTAATGCTGTATATATTTGACATTAATACATACAACACATGTTGTGAAGATGGAGCTTCCTGTACATAGACAAATATCATATCCTAACCATAGACTATATATCTTATTATCCTAACACAGCATACTGTTTTAATCATAGACTGTATGTTTTAATGCATCCAACACGTGCACGCGCAATGCCAGTCCCCTCCTCGGAGGCGCGCACGTCACGACGTAGGAGCACTGACCGGGGCAGGGGCAGACGCTGCGTACAGAGCCGGTGAGCTACATGACTTTTGTCTGTTGCAACTATTTTAATGAATATCCACAAAGACTCACTGTATTTTCAAACTAGCTACAGCCCAGGCCTGGTAGCATCTGTGCATAGTTGTTTTATAAGCGTGGCTGTACTTTTCTGCACGCTTCTCGGTTAGCATTAGCCTGCTAGGACAGAAATGTCAACAAGCCGTCAGCCAGCTGGCCCCGTTAGCTTCAACCATGGATCTAACTCTGCCCTTCGTCATGTTGAATTTGTGCATCATCAGAGTGGTGCAGTTCACAGCTCAAGACAAACTACGACTGTTTGGAGTTTTGGCAGATGGAAAGATCAAATACTAGACTTGTAGTTAGTACTTCTCCCCAATCACGACTCTGACAAGCTGGTACCTGCCCGTGCAAGTCTGTGTTGTGTCTAATGTCCACAAACAACAGAGGCAGGCTGCAGTAGTGTGATTCGTTCTCAAAGGATAGTTTTCAGTGAAATAGAGCAAGAAAACAAGGGTAGTGAGTTTATGGTTGTAATTAATGACATCTTAGTCGACCAAAATAAGTAACAGTTGACCAAAGGATTTACATGAGAAAATAGAACGGATTTGAAGATTTCTGACAAATGTTTTGTTGAAGGGTACTGTAGGGCATCTCTCCTTGTTTTTGTATTGTACTGTATTGTATCGTAGTGTGTGTCGGAATGGCTGGGAGGGGATTGGATTAATATAAGCTTTTTGGTTGACCCAATCCCTTTTCAAATCATGTACAGGTGTTTTTTTTTTTTCAGTAAAAACGTATTGTTTTGTGCATGTTTGAAATAAAAAATATACCAACAAATAAATACAAGAGCTTTGTAGGGATGTTGAATGTAATAGACCAAAGTAATTGACCAAAGGGTAAATTGAACAAATTAGAAGATATGGGACAAACTATTATATTATAGCCCAGTAAATAATTATTTAATTTAAATTTTATGAATCGCAACATTGTTTCCTAGTTGCGTCGTTTTGCATAGAGTTAAAGTGGGTAAAGACACCTAACTTTTGTGTGATTGTTCGATGACGTGTCAATTGACCACGGATGTCTTCAGTTGACCATGCATTTCTATGCTCACTACAGCCCTAGTGATTTTATTTTCAATAAGTAATCCATGTGTTTTTCTTTCTCTATTTTGGTTGCTTTAATCCCGGCCTTCCACCAGGCCTTCACCCCAGGGCCTTGTCTGGGTGGAAGTTGTCAGGATGACTGGCAAGAGCTTACTGCTCAAAGTGATCCTGTTGGGAGATGGAGGAGTGGGGAAGTCCTCGTTGATGAATCGGTACGTAACGGACCGTTTTGACTCACAGTCCTTTCACACAATCGGGGTCGAGTTCCTCAATCGCGACCTGGAGGTGGATGGACGCTTGGTAACTCTTCAGATCTGGGACACTGCGGGACAGGAGCGCTTCAAGTCCCTGCGCACCCCTTTCTATCGTGGCGCTGACTGTTGCCTGCTCACGTTTGCTGTCAATGATTTGCATAGCTTCCAGAACCTCGGCGGTTGGAAAAAAGAGTTCATGTACTATTCAGATGTGAAAGACCCTGAGCACTTTCCCTTTGTGGTGTTGGGCAACAAAGTGGACATGGATCAACGAGAAGTGGGAGCGGAGGAGGCCCGAGCCTGGTGCGAGGAGAACGGCTGCTGTCCTTATTTTGAGACCAGTGCTAAGGACGACACTAACGTCACTGCTGCCTTTGAGGCCGCGGTCCGAGAAGTCCTGGCTGCAGAGGACCAACTGGACCACGCACTGCTTAGTAGCACTATAGATCTCCACGGTAACCGAAAAACACCACGCGCATCTTGCTGCTGATTGCTCATCTACATTAACCTTTTAAACCTTGGGTGGAGCTTTGTGGAAATTGCAAAAATTCGCGTCAAGTTTATGGTACGTGTTTATCAGGTGCAAGGGTTCTTGAGATAATACAGTATGGCTAAGGTACATCACACCTGAGAAGGGTTGAGTTAATATTGCACACAATGTTTAAGAAGAACATTAAAAGGTACTTTTTGGCTGCTAATTTGTTTTTGCACTCACCTTGTCAAACTAGTCTGGTTAATAAGGGAATGTTAAAAGTCCAATATAATAGGGACTTTTAACAGTTACAAACGGTATAAAAGGGACCTGCCACAATGTTTCCTCTTTGTTAATAATTCTGTCAGCGTTTCATGAAATGCACACTATAGAACTGCAGAATTAATTGCTGCTCATATTAAGAACGCTCATTGTTTTCAAAGTAATCCATTCATTGATCATTTTAACGGTATACTGTGCACTACACAGGACAGACAGTATTAGGATGATTGGCTACTTGTTTTGATTTTAGAAAAAACATTTTACTTGTACTGTCTGTTTAGCATGTGCTCTGCTGTCTTTAGTCTCTCATTGTATTAACTGTTACTATTATTTCTGTGATTTGTGTACTACATTATTAATTTATTTGTTGTAGAGTACATGCGATAATACTTACTGCTCAGTGACTTTTGTAAACAATCTGAGCATCATTCCATGTTTTACCTCAATGATCATTTCTGTTTTACATTTATTAAGTGCTGTCATGTCTTTATGGTTTACACCCCATCAGTCTCTGCAGTATTGTCTTGAACTGTAACACGTGCGTACAGTTTCTGAGAACAGACATAAGCACAAAGTAATTAAAAAAATTATCAACCTTACAGTACATTTAAGTTACACTTTATTACCACTAGATGACACCAATGCCACACGTCACATTAAAAGGCCTCAGGAGGACAGTGGCCTGTGCTGGGATGGTGGAATGTTGCTTGAGACAGGCTATATAATGTTTATAGATTCTGATTCTACAAACTGTCATGTTTTTATTATAGTTTAATAATTCTAGATATGTCTTCTGTGCAACTCCTCTGTTAAACAGTGAGGAGTTGCCACATAATTCATGGGGCGGTCTGTTAGAATTATGAGATTGTATGAGTTTGGGCCTGTTCCTCTATACAACTATAAGGGCATTGTTATTTTCTTTTGTTTACACTTTTTCGCTGGGCTGATGAGTACCAGGTTTTGCAAAATGTATACCTGACATTTTCCGTATGTTCTTTCTCATACAACTGGATTTCATTGCACTGGAAGATTCAACAGTTGTCTCTGTGTGACAGGATACAGTGCTTAGCTACAAATAAAACTTGCATAATTTAAATGAGTCATTTTGTTCTCTTGAAAGACTATATTCATGTTTTGTAACTGTAAAAGTACACATAGTGTCAACAGCTTTGTGTGGAGAAGTACAAAAAACACTTTGTGCACAGCATTTTTATTTTCTCTTAAATAAAAGGTTCCAAGTTTACTACAAATGAACATTACTTCTACCATCACTGTACACTCAACACAAACTAGCAAAGGGAATAACCAAATCATGGATCAAAGTAACGCTACAAATGCTCATGATGTAAAGTTAAACTATAATGTTAATCACACATTAGAGATCAGTGTCTGCATACGGGGAGCACAGCGCCCCCTCTCGGTCTCTGTGCAGTTTGCCGTACAGGTCACAGCCCTTCCTCTCCTCTCTCAGCAGCTGTCTCAGCTGTGTCAGGTAAACCTGGCTCAGCACCAGCTGTACCGAACTGTGCACCTGTTACAAACGGAAAAGAGACATGACAAACGGCCAAACAAAACCTTTCACGGCTGGGGCCGCCCTGATTGCGACCAAATCACACAACACCGACACTAAACGCTTTATTCGAATAGGCTAAGGCACAGTTCTTTATAAAACAAAGTAAAAAGTTACACATTTAAATGAGCCAGCTGCCCCAGACAAATACAGCACCTCAGCTGGTTAAAGTTTTAACCATATAAAAAGGTAAACCGTAAACAATAATAAAAATAGGTAGTAAGTAGACATAAGGAGCTTATACAGAACAATAAAGACAGTGTTATACAATAACTACAAAAAAACTCCCAAAAACAAACTACTACATGTTTACGTTTGCAACATCAAAGGAGTTGCACTGCAACAATACGTTTAAGATCAAATGGCAGCACCTAGTGCTTTTATACTCTCACAATCATGTGAAATGTAGAGACCTTTTGAGATCAATTCAAACTTAACAGTACGGTCTTTGTCAAAAATAAACTGGTCCAAAGTATCTAACATTCCTTCAGTTGTCAACTTAAAAACTTGTGAATAATTCAGGAGGCTGGGGTCAGTGTGGCTGCCTTTGGCCTTTAGACTGCCTCCTCCTCCACTCATGACCCTTGGCACAGGGCCGGTGGGCAGGTGGCCCACAGCGACCCTCCACTGCTTACTTTAAAGGCTATTGTTGAGGCTTTTCTCTGACCGTGAGAACGCTGCCGAGGTCACACGCAGCTGCATATTCATGTGAGCCCCAAAGACAACCAGATGTGGAAGAGTCATGCTATCGTGGATAATTCTGACACATCGTAAAGCTGCATATCCTCATTAGTTTGTAAAGTAAGATACAAGTTAGAAGCACGTTATTTCAGGCTAATTCACACAAAAATTAACAATTGAGGAAATGCCATACAATGATTGGGGAAAACATAACGGGTTTTGCATAAAAAAAATAAAAATAAAAATAAAATGTTGATGCTTTTTGTAAAGAAACAAAAAAACACCCAAGTTCCCATAGAGTTGGTGATGCTTGAAGAGAGGCAGAAGCCGGACAGGCTAACACCGTGACCCTATGCCCTTTCTGCCCAAGTATCGCAGAACAGCAAAGTTATAAGTGGTAGATGCAGTGTAGGTCAGCTATAAAGGGGAAAAAAAAGTGGTGTCAGAAGTGGTGAAAGCAGAAGTACATTACACAAAATTGACAACAGAATGTACACTACATTTTTATGTTCAATAAAATGTAGGAGTCAGATTGCTACATTTTTTCATTTAAATATTGAGTGCATAATACTATTTCTGATGTGAATCATAACATAAATCTGCTATAATGAACTGTACACAGTCAACACCAGAAATAACACTACAAATACTAATGCAAATTCTCATTCGGATGATAAGAATGTTCAAAAGACCAACATCACAGCATCACAAGAATACCAAAGCTAATATACAAGGCCTTCAGACTCACCAGAGCCAAAAGTGTGATTCCGGCCCCAGCAAAGGCTGCGATGTAGAGGTCATAGGTGATGCGGTACTGAGGGGGGAAACAACGTCAGTCATTTAAATACTACATGCATTGTGTTTACAGGTGTACATACCTCTCTGGTTTTGCAAATGGAAGATAAGGTCATGCCGCATGCTTTTCCTGGGACTGCATTCCATGGCAGTAACCCTGTAAAAAAATAATATTAGACTGTTTACGTTTTTTCCCCAGCCATTTGAAGGCAGAGCTGCTCCCATTACCATACTGTCTGGCATCCACGCATAGCTGGTTGATGCTGGCAGGGGTTTCTGTGAGTACGTCTATGGTGTGACAGGTGGCATCCATGTTGTAGAAGAAATACACAGGCAAAGCCGAAAAGGCAAACACTAGCAGCCACAGCACAGCAAGTAAATACGTCATCGCGATGAACTGTGCAGAAAAGAAACATGTCCAATATAAATGCTTATTGACAACTGGTGGAACAAGTATATAGCGCTTCAATATTTTTGTTGCAATTGATTTCATTCGATATGACTACTTGTTAAAAATTGTGTTTAAAGAAGAGTGATAAAAATATAATATATCTTAATGAAATTTGTAATTTTGTCCCAGACATTACGAGATGATCAAAGTCAAGTTACGTCGCTTACATCACACGCAGCGACAAAACGTGTCCTGCCGTTTTCTAAAAAGGTAAAGATGTTGCAATACAATACAATAATACCTGCTTTAAAAAAACATCCGAACGAGCAGCAGAGAACAGTGAGGGCAAGCCTCAAGAAATGCCCTCCACCTCTGCTAAGGGGGAGCCCTACACCTCTGCAAAAGGGGGAGCCCTACACCTCTGCTAAGGGGGAGCCCTACACCTCTGCAAAAGGGGGAGCCCTAACCCTAACCCTTGCTCTGTAATCATCCAAACTGTTCTTCACAGAGACTTCAATATGTTCAACAAAGGGCATAAAATGACATGAGCTGGTCTTACATTAACAGTCCCATTTTTTGCTCATGGTTTGCTCCAGAGGTTAAGTCAAAGATGTGTAGACATAGTAAATACTTTATTTCATACAGTACTGTTGTAAAAGGTTTGAAGTGGTCTCCTCTCACCGTGGAGCTGAGGCAGCGGCCACACATGGTGCTCCTGAACTCTCCGAACGTCTGCCTGGCCGCACTGGTCGTGTAGAAGCCTTCAGCCAACAGCATGATACAATAGAGGAAGAAGAAGGACGCCAAGCCGTAGATGACATACTGGAAATACTGAATACTGCAGGAGAATCAAGACAAAATGATCAACTTGCACTCAGCACAAGGAACTACAGCAGAACAAGCTATGGTAATATTACGTGGGAGGTATTGGGAGCTAAATTTATTGTTGGCTCTAATGTTAGCACTGCCATCAATATACAGTACATGGTGGCTTTACCGCTTGCAGAAACCGTGTGTTTTCATTTCAGATTGTAGTGACATAACGAGATTATCAGCACTGAAACCAGTGGCGCCTTCTGCTTGGGTTCATATAAATGTTGTTTTGTCTGGATGTTTATCATTAAAATGATCCACAATTGAGGAATGTACATGTTTTAAACCAAACTGAGCAAAATTTCAAACAGAGCAAAGACATGTCAATGAAGCAGTTAAAAACATTACTGCAGATTATTGGAAGTAGAAAAGGGTTTAAATGACCCAGGGCTGGTCAAGTCAGGGAAAATTATCGAAATGCAGACAATTTTTTTTTTTATTCAGGGTATTTTTTAGTCACTAGCAATTAGATTCACAAACTGGCATTTTATATATTATACATATTTAAATCCTTTCTACTGGCCAACATCATTATGCTCTTTTGAAAATTGTCCCCACTTCAACACCTTTATAAGAAAATAATTGGACCATAGTTGACCATGTGCTGATGAAGATGTGGATTTGTCCAAGAACGGCAATGAAATTACCACTTAAATAAGACTAGATGTATGACATTTGTCAGTTACCATAGATACCAGGACATATTTTTCAGCTGCCATACCAAAATGTTAAATTATAGGCTCTTTGGAATGTCACATGAACACAACCCATTCTACACTAAAGTCCACATTGTATTACTCACATGTATGCAAGTGTTATGTAGTCCTGAAGGTTGCGGGCAAAGTAGGTCTCGATGAGGCGCTCGGTCTCGGTGAGGGCCTGGTGTCCGCAGCCGCAGAACAGAGCGATGCCAGAGAAACACAGCAGCGTGGCGACCAGCGAGCAGTAGGGCACTCCACCCAGACAGCGCATGCAACAGTCATAGCAGCCTGTCAACCACACACACAACACGCCATGAACCGGAGCCCTGGCCTCATTACCGCCACTTTCGACACCGGCACTCCCTTAACGGCAAACTTTCAAACGCGAGTTTAATAGTGTGAAACTGTCTACTACTTAGACAAAAATCATTCCATGGGATTTCACATGGGCAAATAGGGCTGCCTATTGGTGATAGACAATGGCCCATCAACAATAGGCCCATACCAGTCTATATACTTGTTCTCCCATATTGGTAAACACTTCAATTAAGAACAAACCAACTGGTATGACAGAAACATTTTCATCTCCAAACAGGGGTGTCCAAACTTTGATGTCTTGTCCAGGGGCTGACAACCAGTAATTGTTTCGACTTGGATGTTCTGGACTTTAAAATGGTGATATACATTTAACAGGGCAGCAGTCAAAGCAGACTTCCCTATCCAAACATACACACGTGTTTAAGTAAAATGTGAACTTTGAATTTGATAATTGTGATCTTTAGATTGTTGGCAGACCTCTAAATGTCACAATATATTCTGAGACTTGCCTTTCTAATTTAAAGCTGGGGTACCTAACTTTTCTCCCCCCAAAATATACATTTTGTCGTTATGTCCTTTGGCAAGACACCTAACCTACATTGCATAATGAGTGGGGAATGGTTGGTGGTGGTCGGAGGGGCCGAAGCCACAGACTGGTAGCCTCACTTCTGTCCGTCTACCCCAGGGCAGCTGTGGCTACGGTAGTAATTTATCACAGAGTATGGAATTAATGAATATTTCCATATAAAGAGTCTTTGAGTGTCCAAAAAAGCCCCATAAAAAACCAAGAGATTAAACATGATTTGTCTACATGCCGTTTTCCTCTTATTATAATACCTGTTTATCCTTCGCAAGGATAAGGAGCCCTGTGAGTCACTATTTGATGGTTTGAGATGATTGGCTGATCGAGGGCGTTCCTTTCTGACAGAGGCCAGACCTATATGTATGTGAAAAATGGTAATAGAAATCGTTTTGAAAGCGAGGACCAGGATGTACATGTATTTTATCTTTATCATTTCCCATATCTTTGGTGGTTTGATAACAGCTTTGACACCAGTGTTTTGGTACCTCAGCTTTAATAAGCATCATCCCACACATACATTTAAAAAAAGCTTTCCCTGAAAACTTCCAATATACTCTTGTATTCATGACTTGAAATGCAAGCGTGGGTCAGCTGCTACCTCTGGTTTATTCGCAGATTAGTGTTCTCCCCAACAGAGGTGCTGTGATTTGAATATGAGCCAAGGGCTAAAGGGCCGCGAGTCCATTCAGTGACCAGTCTGCAGCATGTGAGAAAAGGGGGAGGATTGAGACGGAGACAAAGTCCAAGAGACAGAGAGAGGCTGCCTTTGTGACTGCGAGAGACAACCTCTTTTGTCCAAGCAGCATCATGAGGCTACAAGGGCGACCAATGTCTCCCAAACAAAAGCTATGGCCACAGTCCCAGCAATGTGGGCCCAGTTGTGGATACTTCCTTATGGGGAAACACAGGAATTGGAAAATTATCATTAGAGGGAAAAGCAAATGCACATATCAACAATAGGGCCATGTGTGTGCCACTGCATCCCGACACGAAAACAATCAAACGGGGCGGACAGTGGTTGGCACCGGCTCTGTGAGAACACATGACGGTGGATAGTAAGTGAGTGAGTGAGTCGCCTTTATTTTGAGAGAATCCGCTTCAAAAAGTTAAAAATAAAATACATATGAGTACAATTATAAGAGAATAGGAGTGAATTTAAGTAAGATAAAAGGCTCAGTGTAGCTTTTGTCATTATTTGTTTGTCTAGTATTTAAAGCTGGGGTATGCAACTTTCTTTTTTCATGAATCAAACAGGTTTGTCTTGTAAAAGTACATGTTATGAACAAATCCAACCTCAATGTGCTAGCTTTATTAGAACACATGCCATTTATAAATGTACACTATTTATATGTTTAAGAAAGAGCCCTGTGAGTCACTATTTAACACTTTGGGATTAGAGCTGATTGACTGACTGAGGTATGATCTTTTTCACTTTTCTGTCTAAAAAAAGCTGATCTAAGGATGTGATAGAGGCCAACAAATACATGCATGTGAAAACTAGTGATTGAGCCAAACTGTTTTTAGAGCGAGGATATTAGTTTTAAAAGTTAGGTACCCCATTTACAAATCGCATCCGTTGTATATTCTAAACAAGTCATTTACTTTAGTTGGCATCAGTTATAAGGGCAACATGCCTGGAACAAGTTGACCCAATAAAAAATATACTATGTGATAAAATTTAAAAAAACAATAATGGACTCTTAACATCTCAAAAGATAGAGAATTGATTTGATTTTTTTTTTTTTTTACAACCATATGAGTGAGTTGTGCTGCTCTAACTCAAAATGCAAAACTGAAATTTCTCTACTGTAATTTGATGATCTCTTTATCTTAGTTAGTCTAAATAAACGTTTTGAATGTATAAATTATAACTATAATATAAATCGGAGCTGGCAGTCCTTTTAACAGCATCCCAAAGCACAGAGCCCCATGGCGCACCTGTGTCATCCACAAGACCCGTGCGGAGGAATACAGTCCGGTCAATAAAATCCAGACCACATCTCGGTCCATTTCGGCTTCTTTTTCTTTTCTTCTTTTTTATAAAAATGAAGAAGGATTGTGGAGCGGCGTAAATGCAACAAAGCAGTAAGTAGCGTTGCCATTCCAAGCATGAAATACATCTTTCAACTATCAGCAGAAACTTCAGGCGCAGAGCATCCCTGTCTGGAGTGGAAAATCATAATAACTTTTGCCCTTTCGTATCAATGTGCAGCGACACGGGGGGAATGGCTGATTTGGAAATAAGCGCGTCTCTACGGGGTTTAAGAGCTAAAATAGAGAAAGTAAAACTCACCCATGTCTGTACCAATGCTGGTGCTGCTGTTGGCGATGTGCGTAAGTGCCTCTCGGCCCCCGTATATCAATCTTCAACTCTCTTTCTGTTCCCCAACAATGAACAGGCTCCGCGATGACTCCGAGGGCCATCTTAAAGACACAATGTCGCTTTTCAATGGACTGCGTTGGGAATAATGAGGAGGTCAGGCTCCAGACCTTTGCTTGGATCATTGTGGAGGGAATTAGCAAAGCGAAGGAGGCCACGCTAGAGACATTTGAACAACTAAACGTGATCACGGCACAGATTTCTCAGGCGTGCGCGCTGCTGGGAGCCATGTTGGCACGGGGCCTGTTAAAGCTTGGGTACCCAACTTTCAAACCACGTCAAACTAAATAATAACAAAAATATTTTTTAAAGATAAATAATGAAACCTTTTTTGTGCAATATTTGAAAGAGTCAAAGTAAATAGTGTAGAGATTATGCGCATATGTGGCAGCTGACCAGTTTTCTAATAAAAGATGAAAGAATTATACTCTGAAGCCTTCATTAACAAAGCAAAGTTATTCTCATCAAAGTGTTTTGTATAGAAAATCTAACAATCACAACAACCTCTTTATAATCTTCTCACATTGTTTTTCTTTTCACATTATTTTGACCAATTTGGTGGAGTTGGATCATTTCCAAAGGCACACCAAACATCTCAAGAAACATCAACGTGTCATGGCACATTGTTTGAAAAACACTGACTTCCACTGATGATAAGTTACTTTACATGACTGAATTGTAATATTTTGTATAGACATTTCTGAACGACTATAATGTTAAACTACAGAATGATTCATCAAATTGAAAGTGACCACACACTAAAGTTAATCTGTATATTAGATCATTCGAGAGTGGTAGGGGAGCAGTACAATCTTTTAAAACTTTCTCCAACTCTTGAGCATCATGTTCTTTCTGTACTCCTTGTCAGTAATAGATGGTTTTCCATCACATGCTTTGCGCGAACGCCATGTTGTATGTCTGGCTTATATTGCACAAATCATTTGTCCCCATGTCATCTAAAGCCACGAATTCGGCCGACGCTGACCGTGTTAAGTATATTGATACACTGGAGTAATCTGTGAGGCAAGATCCTTGGAGAAATTGAGAGTGATTGGAGATTTGGATCCATATGAAATCCGGCGAGACCAGTGGACTTCACCAGAAATGGCTTACTTTCACTTAACAGTTTTACAATTAAAAAAGGTCATGATGTATATGATGCAATATTTCTTTCAATCAATAATTTATTTTGAACGAAGCAGTTGATATCACAGGCCGTAAATCACTTCTGTCTACCACCCTTTACCCCACTCATCCTCCTCCCCCTCTCATTCATTTAGAGGGGATCGCTTGAGGCCCATATATACATAGTATCACAGTCAAATCGCAGCTCTGAATATAAACCACACATGCACAGATTTAGCTCTGACCTGTTATGGAATGGTCAGAACAGACCTTATCGTGCCGTTTTTCGGGGTTAGGGTTGAATCCCTCTCGGTTGATCCTTGCCAAACTAAAGGGTTCTTTTCTCCATCGAGAGTTGCTCTGTGTCGCTCCCCTGGCTCCTGATAACCTTCGTAATGTCCCCACAATCTGCACTGTTACTGCACCCCCAAACGGCGCAGGTAGTCTGCATGTTATAGCGCAAAAAAAGTGATGTGCTGTGCTTTGTTTACCTACAACTATTGGTGGCTGGACATACAAGATGGCGGACTGCGGAATTGTGGGTAGTGCGTGACGTTAATGGAAAACCATCTATTGTATCACTCTTGCAATTGACCAACTCTGTGATTTATAAATATGTGTTCAATGTAACAGTATAAGAATTAATACTATTCAAAAATCCTATCACTAGTATCAAAACTATCCATCACTAGTTTTTTTTGTCAGATCTTGAAATAATCTTTTTCTAACTAGCCTTACTCAGCCAATCAGTCCTCAGCCCAAAGCATCACAGGGCTCTTTCTTAAATGTGTTTTATAATGCAAAAAAAGTAGTACAGAGAGTTTGGATTTGTTCACAACATTTTACTTTTACAAGACTCCTGTTGGGACAAACATGTTTCATTTATGACAAAATGAAGTTATATTCCCCAGATTGAATTAAATAATATATTAGAAATGTTTCATTGTAGCCTACATCGTAATCTGACTTTATTCACTCCTATTCTCTACACAAACTTTTTAATAAGAGGGCTGTACTTCAACTCACCAGAAATGTCTCCAACAACACGGATTGTAACAGACTGAGCTGAAGTTGGCTGAACTGTTTACTCTCTCACCAGCTACATTAGCCCCATAGATGGAATTTTGCAAAACATCAAAAACAAATGTCATTATTTACTTGATTCCAGAGGTCCTATGCTTTGCCAGCTTTGCCAGGAGGTACAGCATGTCTCTAGTGGCTGAGCTGAAGTTGGCTGGATGACACTGTGAACTTGTGTTTATCTCAATGGCTTCTTTGGGTTAGCGAGACAGAGGGCCGCATAAAATGACACAATGGGGCCCACGAACCAAGTTTGAACATGCTTCTAGTGTATTCTATGTTTTTTGCTCATCTGTGTCTCATATTTGTACTCACAAAGTCACTTATTCACCCAGAACTATTGTACATGTGTTTAGTGGTAGGGGAAACCGGAGCACCTGTAGGAAACTTACAAGCTCTGCCCAGAAAGGGATACATTCTACAAGTTCAGAAATGTGTTACATACTTTCTCATAAGATGAAGACCTCGTTACGGCCTAGTTTGTTCACAAAATGTTTCTGCACAGATCAACAGAGTTACAGGACATATTACACTTCATATAAAACTGTTTTGACCAACATTTTAGCGTTGTCCAGTAGATGGCAGACTTGAACCTATGCCACATCTTAAACCAACAGCTTGTATGCTTCCTCAGAGCTTACAAATTTAAATTGGATTTCAGTTATTTTCAAACTATTCTGTCCCGTCATCGTTGCATAAATGTCTGCATCAATTTATTTCCATCTGTTATGAAACTAGTTTTGCTTCTCGATTCTATTTAGCTTCTTGACAGAATCTAGACTGAATTCCCCCCCAAGGTTTTTGGTTTTCAGTAGTTTTGGTCTTGGTTAAAACATTCAACAATTAACAATTATGTTTTTAAAAAGACATTTCAATTATGTTTTAGTTGATCCACTTTCCCATAAGTCTATTTGAAGCGAAGTTTTCTGTTTCCAGTTATTTGTTTTCCGATTCTCACGCAGAGGGCTGTACAGCTTTCCCTTCGTCCTGTGAATTATTAATCCTCCAAAAATGTATGTCTCATCTTGTAACTGTGAGCGTGGGATTATGTCAACATCCTCTTTGAATCTTTCATGCACCATTTATCTTTGATTGACTTCAATTCTATCACACAAAATGTAAAAAAAACCCAAGATTTCCCTTTTGCTTTTGTGCGGCTTTCATTGAACACAGCGTGATTCCAATGCAAACACTCCATCAGATGAGGGGAAGCAGACAGTGGAATTCTGTTTTCTTTTTCTCGGCACAGATCCAACAAGGAACAGATACTGCAGGGAAGACAATAAAATCCCAGGTATGAGATGGGATGGGCGAGATAAAATTGTGCCTACACGTGGATTTATATAGAGCCTGCCCACTCCTATTAGGATTCACTACCTTTTTCAGCACCAGTGACACTAAACCTCTTTGTGCGACTAAATACTAGACTCGCCATCACTCAAACTGGAAATCTGAGAAAGACTCCCGTCACGTCAATAGACAAGGGCCTCGGCCACTCACAGAACCAGGCACTTAAAGTAATGACGAATAAGCAGTTATTTTAACATAATCCATGTAATTGTATGCAGTGGTTGCCTATACCTTTGAAAAATACATTATGTGTTTTAACTTGGTTTACATTTTTCAGTTCCTTTTTTAGTTCTTGCTTTTATTTCCGCTGCGTTCCCACGTTGGAAATGCGTGGTATTTTCCATTGAAACCAGGAAGCTTTTGATGACAAATGTCTGTACAACACTGACCTTCTTATGAAACTTTTTTCTGAATATTTGAGTCTAATTGTATTGCACAGCAGTCTGAACGCACAACCCATGAGTATTTAAAAAAAAAAAAGAATTATATAGTCACTTTACAACTTTAACAAATAATTTTATGTTTGGACCCTAGTTTTTCAAGTACGATTATGAATGTATTTTTCTTTTTTTCTCGCAAACCTCATTGCAAAAGCGATGTTCCCCACTGCATTAAATCCAGTTAAACGTTTACAGTGTGAACACAACCACAGAGAACTGGGTGGTTCCTCTCAAGATTAGATTTTGCTTCTGATATGTGCGAAAACACTAATAAAAACATAAAATCCATGTAAATATTTAGCTTGGTTCTATCCATAGACTGTATATTAATGGACAATGTTAGCCCTTTAGCTAAACAACGTCCAATGGGGAAGTGCTCATGGACAAAGTTGTTACCCCCTACTCTCTCTGGCTCCTGTTGACTTACATTTAAAACTAAACTCCTCTAGCTTAGTAACTGTATGACACTCACCATTTTGGGCTCAAAGAAAAATCCATGTTTAAGCGCAATATGATTTGGGTTTTTATATTGTGATATTATCTTTGTTAATTCAGATAAGCGTCACAAGGATTGACCAATCAGATGCTTTCATTTGTGGGGGAAACTTCAGCTTGCCTTAGTAACCATCTTGGTAACACATCTGCCCCTATGACTGCCCAAAGCTAACATTGGAACGCATATATACCGTGTCTAGCTAAAAAGTGTTAAAATCGGACCCTCATCTCAGCCTCGGATCAGAGAGAAAAGTGACAGCCAATCAGGTGCAAATAGTGACACACGGTGCTTTTTCTTACAAGTTGATACAAGATCAGACGTTTCCTCATAAGATAAATCCAGCATGTGCTTTTTTAAATGTCACGCAAGACTCAAAAAACGATATGGATAGTTAGGTATGACATCTTTTCATGTTTGAAATCTAGAAACATTTGAAATAAATGTAAATGTTTAGCAATCTCTTTTGGAGGGGGGAGTAAAGCCTCAACTGGCATTCACTTGTTTTTCAGGGCTGCGCTTAACTGTGACCAACCTTTCTCCGCCTGAATGAAACAAAACATTTCGGCTTGTCTTACATGATAAAATAAAGTTAATTCTTTTTAAACTGTAAATATATAGTTACAAGTTGACACATGCACACACAAAGAACACTTAACAATGTAAGGAATGTGATCAAATAAAACTTAAAAAAAAATATTTACTGATTACATTCTTGGCACGACTCAAAGCATGGGAGATTACACACATTCCTTGCTGCCTGCTCATTCGTCGCAGTAGTATTTATCCAGAAGCTGCAGTGGAACTTCATTCTCATTTTTGCTCACGTTTGTTTTCTTTGCTGTCACATTTCTGCGTCTATAGGCAACAAAAGTCCCCACAAACAGGCATAGAGACACAACCATCATACCCAAGCCGACAAATAGGATTATCTGGGTTTGATTTGGAAAGTTCATTGACAGTGAGTTGGTGGGACACTCGATTCTTTCTGAAGTGGTGGGTGAAGGCCATGGAGGTACTTGGGGTTCGCAGTCCAAGTGGCAGGCCTCCAGGCTGTCGTTGACTAACAGAGACACCCAAACGGCTGTGTGGAGCGGAGACGGTTTTCCTCTATCGCTCACTAAGACGAGAAGGTTGTGCATGCCTATGTCCGAACCCAAGGGGCGCTGTGTCAATGTGATGTTTCCTGTGGTATGGTCCACATTGAATATCCTGTTTTGGTTTACAGCCTTGTACGTCAAGTCAGAGTTCAACCCAGTGTCTTGATCAATGGCATAGACCCGAGTGATGGTAGTGCCAGCTGTTGTATCCGCTGGGACGGTTAAACATGTTAGATTATTTATGGGAAGGATGACTTTTGGTTGGTTGTCGTTAATGTCCTCAATGTAAATGGTGATCCTCACACTGGCGGTCAAGGGGAGTGGGGAACCGTAGTCTGAGGCAATCACCCACAATTCAAATTTGTCCTGCATTTCTCGATCCAAGCTGCTTGTCGTGTGCAAAGTATTTTTAGAGTTTGGTATTACGAACGGCGCACTGGTGTTTGCGACATACATCACAATGTTTCCATTTGCGCCTTCGTCCGCATCCATCACCCCTATGGTTCCCACAGGAGACAGCTCAGGGGCATTTTCGGGAACAAAAAAGATAAAGTGGGGCATTACAAAAACGGGTGCATTATCATTTTTGTCTACTACTCTAATGCGCAACGTGGCTGTGGTCTCCAGAGGCGGGGAACCACTGTCCTGTGCAGTGACTCTAATGGTGTGGATTTTCTGCAGCTCTCTGTCCAGTGATTCTGACACAAACAGTTGACCCGTATTGCGGTCAATGTTAAAAATCCTGTCTGTGTGCTCTCCCAATCTGTAGGTCACTCTGCTGTTGTCCCCACTGTCCGCATCAGAGGCAGTGACCTGTAGCAGTGAACCCGGCTGGTTGTTTTCCTCCACATCCAGCTCATAAACAGTAACTGGGAAGAGGGGAGGGTTGTCGTTGACATCTGTAACTACAGCCTTGATGACACGACGCGACACTGTGATCACAGATCCCTGATCAGTTCTCTGCACAGCCACAGAAATGTAATGTTCTCTTTGATCCTCATAGTCTAAATACCTTGAATTTGAAAGCAGGTATCTGCCCCTCTGATGGCTCAGTGTGAAAGGCACATCACCCTCAATGTTCAGATATGAGTCTTTTAAGCCACTGTCAGCCTCCAGCTCTAACACTGCTAAAAGAGCAGGGGGCTCATTCTCTGCCACCACAAGGGTCTGGTTCTCATGTTTTGCTATGTATCCAATCTTTATTGTAGGCTCAACTTTGGCCCTGGGGAGCACAGATACTGTTACCTGAGTGTCAGCCGGGGAGCAGTGGGGGCCGCTGGCCAACACTTTTAATACAAACTCCTCAGAGATGTCAGACTGAAGATCCTGTGTCAAAATGACAGATCCAGTCCGGCTGTCCAGGCTGAAGAGCACTTTGCCTCGCTCGGACACTTTGGGACTAAAGTTATATGTGATTTCAGAATTTGCACCAAAATCTGCATCAGTGGCTTTGACCTGGGCCACCACAGTGTTTTTCGGGGAGTCTCCAGAAATGGTGACATTCTGATGACTGTCCGGGCTGAAGTGGGGACAGTTGTCATTGACATCTGTCACAGTTATTCTTAATACTACAGCTGACTTTAAAGGTGGAGAGCCTCCGTCTTGGGCCACCAGTGAGGTGTTGTACTCACTCTGGACCTCTCTGTCCAGAGGCATCTTTACAATCAGCTTTACACTTATTCCATCTTCAGTTTCTACATCAAAGACCCCATCAGACCCCTCTATAAAGTAGTTAATGTATCCATTACTGCCAATATCTCTGTCCTGGGCCTGGTGATCCAATAGGAATCCTGCCCCAACAGTTACATCCTCGGACAAGCTCAGGTGTATTTCTGTGTTTTCAAAAAGAGGCGCATTGTCATTGATGTCCTCAATAATGACAGAAAACTGCACCAGATCTGCCGCGTCCCCCACTATTGCAGTGTGTCGAACAATACATCCATCAGCTCTAGTCTCCTCAGGGCACAACTCCTCTCGGTCCATCCTTCTGTCGCTGGTGTACAGACCGCCTGTGTTGCTGTCCAACCACAGATAGTCCAGCGTCAGGAGCTGATATGGAGGTGGGAAGTGAGCCCTGAGCATTCCGACCAGAACCCCGGCCCCCTGCTCCTCTGGCACAGAGAAGTGGACCGCACCACACATGAAACTGAGGCCAGCCACCGTCAGCAGACTCTAATGACAGGAAAACACATTAAAAATACTATAGAATATTGTAAAAAATTACATTAAAAAGTAATTTACATTTTGATGCCATTTATTTTCTACACTTTGGAAAGCTCATACATAATTTCTGACACACTGACCTGTAACAGTGGAATGTGGCTCATATTAGCAGCAGTGGCAGAGCCTATTGGCCTCACATGTTACCTGAGTTCCCCGTCAGAGACTGAGTGTATTAGGAGTGAGCTGAACCTGTACAGCAGAATGAAGGCCCCTCCCCTGCACTTCGTTGCAAGTGACACCTGAGATGGCAGAAGTAGTACAGGTTTACCGGCTCTAAACTCACTTGTTATTGTCTTGTGCCACATTGTGATACACCGGAACGTTATACACTTTTGAGGTTTATTATGTATTAAGTAAACATTTCCAGTGAACCAGCCTCAAGCCAGGGCGTGCTTTGAGCTATAGATAAATACTATAATTATGTGTATAACTGTTAACAGTTATTTAAGTCTGTCACTGATTTATTTATTTATTTTGAAATTTCTTCCAAACTATTTAAAGTGTTTTGTCTAGTACAACAACTGTGCAGATAAAATTTACAATAATGTGATTATGAGTATCAACATTTATTTATTTGTGATGACAAGTGACGGCACAGTCCGAACATACTAGTGGTCCAGTCTCTTTGCTCCACAGTGGCCTCTGCTGTTAGCACCGGGTATTGCTTGGTTCGATTAGCGTTTTCAATTGCCTTGCGTAACGGGCAGTTCTACATTCAATGATTTCTGTCTTCAGTTGAGCCTATTATGTGTAATTGATTCACCTCGATGATCTTTGAAACAGTGGGTAAGCACCTCTGTTTGGGGAGTGTTGGGCAATAAATCCATTTCAGTGAGAAGTTTTTGTCCAAAGGGAAACAGGGGAAATAGTTCTATCATGATTGTATTACGTAATAGTCGTTTCCAAGCTATTGAGTTGTTCGCTCAGATTTTCCAGCGGTCACCCGTGAGCGCGTCACTCTGTGACGATAGGAGCCTGGTGATTGGCTGGAGCGTAGATCGGCAAGAGACCTGAGGATAAACGTGCGCATGTGCGCGACACTTCTCACTCCAGAAAGTTAGATCTACTGTTACTTTCTACTTTACAGCATCTGCCAACATGACCTCAGACCTGACCACAGGTGAGACCTCTTTGAACAATATTATTCTTAAGACAAATATGGACACTGATTCCAGATCTGTCCTAGGGTAAGGCCAGTTATTTTCAGATCATAATTTTAATCTTTCATAATATTAAGGTTTTATTATGGGCATGAGTGTATACCTGTGAGTTTTACTGTGAAAAGAGTGACTTTGGTCTTGTTTGTTGCAGAGCTGGAGCTGGAGCTGGGTGACTTACTGCAGGAGTTTCAGAATGTAGTGCAGGAGCTCAAAGCCCCTTCTCAGAGCAGAGTGGACTCTTATCGTTACGTTTTGGAGGAAGCCAAGTGCCGGGCTGGGCAGTGGAATGACAGTGGCGTGGAAGACTACGACAGCAGTGCGTACTCTTTTTTTCTTGTCATTTCCAGAATTGCCTTTTTAATGGTGCCCATTTGATAAATATGTCTTAGCCTTGGTGAGGTAAAATGGTTTTTTACTGCTCCCATGTGTGATTATTACTGAGAGTTTAGGCATTTAACGCTTGAGCCAGAGTTGGATTCAGACACTTGGGACAAACTAACACTGAACCATCATTTAGCTTTAATTTTGTATGAATGTTATAATTACACGCACGGCTCCCTTTGTTTCAGCTTGTTGATCATTTACATGAAGTGTCCTTGGTGGGTGTAGTGTGTTTATTATTGTTTCCTCCTCAGGCAGCGAGGCGTCTTTGGGAAACAGTCTGAACAGCAGTGAGGAGGAGCTGCACACAGCAGGAATGATGCAGGAACCCAAAGGTACGAGCGTGTATCTGCCTCTGCATCTGCAGCCATGCTCTACAGCGATCTGTATCGCCGCTCTGATCACTATCACAGCTCACTTCTCCTTACATCGGAGCCGGGAGCTCTTTTGTTTTGGCACAACAAAGCCGATGGCCTTGTCAGTGTGGAGCTTCTTCTTTCTCAAGATTCCTTTGTGCTGTCAAGTCTTAAGCAGCAGCTCATGTGTATGAAAGATGCAAAGCAGGACTCCACTTCACTTGCGACGCATGCGAAACATTGTTTTATTGTTAAATTTAAATATTTATAATATGTTGCATACAATGTGTTTTCTGTCCTCACATTTTTCTTTATATATTTCTGTGACAAATTCTTTCTTTTTATTATACCACAAATGTAAACCTTGAAGCATGTTTAGCTCCAGTCTTTTTGATGAAGTTTCTCATATTTCCTTTTTCTTGCCCATTCAGCCAAGCTGGGAGACACACGAGAGCTGGAGAGCTTCATCGACACGTTGGACCGAGAGCTTTCTGGTACATATATTACCCTCCCTGTCACTCAATCTTCCCCTTTTTCCTCTGAAGGCAGCGCCTGCTCTGTGTAATTGTGGCATAGACTCAGAAAAGGACATTTGTGAACACGTTGGAAATACATTCTGTATAGTGCCCTTCATTTATCTCCAGGGAAGCTCTCGTATATAAAGGCCATGTCTGGGACCCAGGCGGGCTATCTGTGCACACTTTGTGGTAATGGCTCTTGACTGCACAAGTGCTGCATCCTGCTTTCTGCACTTAACCACATATGTTGAACTGTTTACTGTAAACTAAAGTCATGCAATAAGCCACAGCTTCTGCTCGATCCTTGACATTATATATTTGAATGTTTTTTGCAGAAATGTAAAAGGGAAGAAGAAAAGACCAGAGGAATGCAGTGTGTCCATCCACACGAGTCTCTGCTGACCCTTTTGACCACAGCTGAATATGGAAATAAGACAATGCATTTTAAAGAAACAGCTATTGATCCAGGATTATTGTCTGGCTTTATGAAGGAAAAATAACTAAATGATTTGCTTCAGTAGATTTTCTACCCTATGGGTTAGCATTATTGTATTATATATTTCTACAGTTGAACATTTTATATAATTAAATACGTTGAGTTGTATTCTTTATTCCTTTAAATAAATGTTTTGTAAATACAGTACATACTGGTGTATTATTTTTTAAATAATTATTATGTTGGTGTGTCCCGTTGGCCTCGTTCCGCTGTCATTAAAGATTTATAATTTTGACAGTTTGTGCTGCCAACTTCCTCATTCTTTAGACTTTCTCCTTGGTTGTGTCTGCACCTTTGCTTTCCTGTCTGTGGTCAAAGTGAGTTTCACTTCTACCACAAACACAACAGCTCAGCCCACATTTAGATAATGAGGCTTTTAACGTACAGAGGAAATTAAAGAAACTGCATTCATGAGTATATGAGTAACATATATGTAATGTTTAGCTGATGTAAGACTATAGACGTTATCTGTTGACACTGCTCTGTTTCTCAAAAAATCCATCTGAACTTTTTTACATTAGACGTTGTTAGGATAGATAGCGATTTGGCCTACGTGCAGGACAAGCACAAAGACTCTGATGGACTCCATGTTTTGACTATGATGTGCTCTGTCTCTGTGTGACACGTATGTCTTTCGATGTGTGACGTGACAATGACTATATAAACTGTGTACTGACTCCATTCTGTCTGAGAGAAGGAAACAATGGAAACCACTGGAACTTGAGAGAAACTTAAATAAACTTCCAGAGTTTGGCGCACCACGATCCGTCTCTGTCTGGTTCATTCCTGACAACGTACTTAACACCCCATAGACTTATGTAAGGCGGACCTGACCTGCACCCAGGGCCATGTGGCTCCGTTGGAACCTGTCATCTCCTTGTGTATAGTGAGGGGAAATGACACAGGAAAAATGTAACGTGCTTTGTGTGACCCTGATCTGTGAAATATGCTCTAAAAAAAAAGACTACTTACTCACTATTCTTCCACATGGTCTGGGAGCACCCAAGGGTATCTCGGCTTTGGGAGGTCTGTGCTCATAGTTCCCCTTCTGCAAGACTATTCGGAAGAGAGCACTGAGGAGAGAACCATTAACACATCATGGAACAGTATTAAACAGCAGCTAAAGGCAGCATTTCCTTGAGTTCAGTTTTGTTTGAATTGATCAGATTTCCAATTCAATTTTGTATTTGTTTTGCCCCGTAATCACAACTGCAAACAAACAAAAAACGGTGAGAAACCTCTGGGTAATATTGAGAGAGTCTATAAATCCAGAACTCAGGCTGTAGATCCAGGACTGAAGAGACACCCATGATGGGGAGGGACTTTTATGTTTTATTGTGGTTGTTTCTACCCTGGACCTAGGTTGGTTATTTGTTCAAAATAAATAAATATATTGCTATTTAAAAATAAAATAAAACAACTTTGAGCACCGGAACTATACCAGTACTTCTGCTTCTTTCCTTCCCTGTGGGTTTGTATGAGGTTTGGATATTTCCTTTCACTATATAAACTCCTCGTTCTATCTTTGGCCTTCTTAAAGGACTGTGTTTTCTGAAAAGCCAGTGAGTATTTTATAAGAACTCTGGCTGAAGCGGTTTATTGAATACGATTTAAACTTTAAAAATGCCCTCGACTGTTTGTTGATTTGGCTCATCATCCACCGCCTGGATGATGTATTACAGAAAGAGATTGTGGGTAGACCCGTTTGGGGGGTTTGGATGTCACCACTGGCAGCTGGATGAAGGAGGGGAAAAAAAAATATACGGCTGGAGTCTGCTTATGTCCCATTAAAAGACACTTAAAGAATATTGAACCCAGCTTCAAGCCCTGGCCAAGTCTTTAACCTGCTGAGTGGTGACAGTAAGGTGCGAGCTTATAATACAAAGGGGAAAACGGCTACACAATAGGAACAAGTGGAGGTGTGTGGTGTAACCCTTTTCCTCTTATGTGTCTTCTGTTCCAGTTACAAAAAATGCAAGGATGACTGATTGAGGCCACAGCTGTTCACCAGACTCACAAACAAACTTGGGTTTCAAAATGATGGAGCTTCCCTCAAAACCAAGGGCACATCCTGTTTTCAGGAGACCGAGGAAAAGGAGGTTCAGGTACGGATGTGGGAGAGTGTACATGAGTTGTGAGTTATCGTCACTTAAATATTTCAGGCAGGCGGGCAGGCAACTTTTTTAGTAGAGCACGATTCATACACAAGGCAGCTAAAAGTGCTGAACAAAATAAGATAGAAACAATCACACAAGGCATTAAAATCATAAATAATCACAGCACATTAAAAAGAAAGATACAAAAAATATAATTCCTCCGTTGTATACACAGTTAAACAGATCTGTTTTTTAACCTAGATATCAACATTGTCAGAGAAAAAGCCTGTCTCACATTTTCAGGAAGATTGTTCCTGATTTTAGCTGCATGAATCTGAAATGCTGCCCAGAGTCAGGACTAAACATGGGGGCATGTTTAGTCCTGACTCTGGGCACTAACAGGAGTCCAGTCCTTGTGCTCCTCAGAGTCCGAGTTGGTTCATATGGGACTAACATGTGACTGAAGTATTTTGGTGCGAGACCCTGGAGAGACTTGTACACAAGCAGAGCTGTCTTCAAGTCTATGAAATGAAGATTTCCTTCATTTCAATCCACTTGCAGCTCCTTGTACATCATTCTTAAATATAGTGCAATCTTTGGCACATTTTCTAAAGCAGATTCCCGTGCTGCTCATTGAGCGTGTGCGATCTGAATTTCACTAGAAAACCAGAATTGCAATAATTGACTTTGCTGCAGAACTTTTCAAACTAACAATGCAGCTATTGAGTCATATCTGGTTTTCTGTGTGCCGTGTGGAATGAATGTGGGCAATCAATATGCAAATATCTGCACGCTATAAGTAATTTTCTATGCCTGACAGTGGACAAAAAGACCTGTTGAGTTGATCCTTGGAAATAATGTATTTTTCCCATCAATCCCTGTTGTAAAATACCCTGTTTTGTGGTACTTGACATGGCCAACCCAATTACCTGTGTCACCACAGTACAGGAACAGTCAGAGGCACCTCATTATCGCTATAATTCCTTTATTAGACTGCTCTTCTGTAGGATCTGATGTAATATATCATTCAGTCTTATGGGAACACCTCCCTGTTGTTTCTCTGCTAATTACTATGAGGGAGGTGGTTTGATTGGCAGCGCGCTCAAGTGGGAGGCCAGTGTGTCAGCCAGTGGCAGTGTTTAGATAACAGACAGAGTAAATGATGAATGAACCGCTTTCATTAGCAGCTAAATTAAAATGAATTGATGTTATGATGAGACGCAGAAAAGATATTAGAGATGAAGTCTTAATAAAGATCTCGTTATACCCCATGGCCTGCACCTATAGCCCCAAGCAGCTGGTTAGAAATGCCACATAGACGTAATCTCGGCTCACAGTGCTGGGTTGTTTTGAGCTGCTCTAATATAATGAAAACGTAATTGACTCGAGCAGGTAGGAGATACAGGTTATTAAAACCAATTAATGGATGGGAGCTATAGATGGGCACGGGAGAAGAGCAGCATTAGGCACACAGTCCTTTATCCTCCACGAGAGCAAACCCCAGAGCTCACAATGCCCCTCCGACAATCAGGCACACGCCCAGTCTCTGAACACTTACATAACACAGACCAATAGGCCGCATGATTGCATTTGCCCACAGAGCTGCAAACCTCCCACACACATTTAGCAGTTGTTTGAATGATGTTGTTGATCAATATTTTGATATCTGCAATGGCAACAGTTACTGTCATGACCAATAAAACTTAAAGACAGTGGCCGCACCTGCATGTGAAAGCCAAATCCTGACAGACCTCTGAGATTAAGCAGGGCAGGGCCTGGTCAGAACTGTGATGGGAGACCACTGGGAACACCAGGTGCCACAGTGGGGCGGCTGCGGCCGTAAAGTGCCAACAAAACAGAAGAAGACAAAAAACAGGGGGACAGTTTTTTTGTCTTCTTTTACAGCGGGGCAAAAAAGCATTTAGTCAGCCACCGATTGTGCAAGTTCTCCCACTTAAAATAATGACAGAGGTCTGTAATTTTCATCATAGGTACACTTCAACTGTGAGAGGCAGAATGTGAAAAAATCCAGAAATTCACATTGTAGGATTTTTAAATAATTTATTTGTAAATTATGGTGGAAAATAAGTATTTGGTCACTTCAAACAAGGAAGATCTCTGGCTCTCACAGACCTGTAACAGACCTTGTAAGAAGCTCTTCTGTCCTCCACTTGTTACCTGTATTAATGGCACTTGTTTGAACTCGTTATCTGTATAAAAGACACCTGTCCACAGCCTCAAACAGTCAGACTCCAAACCAAGACCAAAGAGCTGTCGAAGGACTCCAGGAAAAGAATTGTAGTCCTGCACCAGACTGGGAAGAGTGAATCTATAATAGGCAAGCAGCTTGGTGTGAACAAATCAAATGTGGGAGCAATTATCAGAAAATGGAAGACATACAAGACCACTGATAATCTCCCGCGATCTGGGGCTCCACGCAAGATCTCACCCCGTGGGGTCAAAATGATCATGAGAACGGTGATAAAAAATCCCAGAACCACACGGGGGGACCTGGTGAACGACCTGCAGAGAGCTGGGACCAAAGTAACAAAGGTTACCATCAGTAACACACTACGACGACAGGGAATCAAATCCTGCAGTGCCAGACGTG